CAATATATTGCTATAAAATAGATTTCTGTTTACATGACTGTGGTTATGGTTGTTACTTTATTAATCCCGAATCTCTGCCATTACATACAATGAAACAAGAAACGGTAAAAAAAGTAAAACAGAGCAATGTAAATACAATAAAACTATTAGACATTATTGTAAAAAATAAATAAAAAGTCCATCCCGTGTGTTAGTGAATTTTTTAAATATTTTAGGCAGGAAATTCGTTTTCAAATTTAGATTTTTTTTTCTGGGGGGGACCCCCTGACCCCATGGAAGATTTGGTCCCCCCCAATGTTGACTCCATGGCTATGGCCTTGCACCCCCGATTATGAATTAATATGACTGCTGCAGTAATTGTGTTTTATTTAAGTTTGTGTATATACTGTGTATATATTTGGTTTTATCCGCATTCGAAGCACCGTTAAATAGTGACTGTGTTCACCCGATTATAAGACGCACGTTTTACTCACGAATTATAAAAGCAGAGTGGGGGGGGGGGGGGGAGATAAAAGATAGGACTTATAATCTGTAGCGCGATGCCAAACATGTAATAAGTTGGTTCTTTCGGTAAAGTCACCACGTAGAAGGAGAACAATAAAATAATAAAAAATATAAAACAATAAAATTCTCACGACGTTTAGACTGCAACACAAGCTATCATCATCAGGCAAGAACACTTTCTTGCTGTGGTTTTCACACCTGATGATGATTGCTTGTGTTGCAGTCGAAACGTCGTGAGAATTGTATTGTTTTATATGTTTATTATTTTATTGTTTCCCTTATACGTGACTTTACCGAAAGAACCAATAATAATAATGTCGTTTATTTGAAGATGCACTGCACTGATAGAGAAGTCAATCAGATTGTTATAAGAGTTTGATATTACCGCTACTATCATTAAAAGTCGCTGCTTAATACCATGTATGCAGTATATACACACACAGTACGCATACTCTGTGTGTATATATACAAATAGCACATTTGCTGTATATGCAATGTGTGTACAGTATATACTATTTAACATAAAGTGTACACATATCGCTTATGCAGTAGAGTATACAACTTTATTTTAGGCGCCGTTAATACTTATATACAAATAGTATCATATTTTCTACAGGCTATTTAAAGTTATCTTAATCGTTTACTAATGGTGTTAATATGATTATCAGCATTGTATTAATTCGACTAAAATATTAATCCAACTATGGTGGTCAAAGGATGTATAATATATACACATATATAAACATTAACATATACACACATATAAACATTAACATATACACATATATAAACATTAACATATACACGTTCTACCACATAGGCTAATTACAAGATTAATAGTGGAATTAGTTTAAATTGGGCTGTAATTTTAAAAATATGAGTATTACATAAACAAATATATTGCTCATGTCTACACAATAACGTGCGTCTGAATTATAATGCAATTACATTTTTTTTTAATTTAAAGTTAATATTTATAGGAGTACATTTCAGTGGCATAAACTTAATGAAACAATTATATTTTTTAAAAGTTAGGACATTAATTCAACACGGTAATTTATATTACCTAATCAGATCAATTACGTATGTAAATTCAACGACTGCACTGAAACTGAGCGAAAATAATTTTGGTATAATTTGCAAAATTTAATTGGAAATGCATTCAAATTGTGTGGTTTAATATATATTTACATATAAAAGGGGGAGCGGTGGCGCAGTGGTTAGCACGCCGCGCTATGAAACCAGCCATCTAAGTTCGATTCCCGCTCGCGGTCACCACCGCCAGTGACGATTATCTGAACCGGTCCTGGGCCTCCCCTAGGTCGACTCAGCCTCAAATGAGTACCTGGTGTGCGGTGTGTAAACATTATCACTGGGGGAGAGACAAAGGCGGCCGGGGGTGGTTCTGGCCCCCTCCCCCCAGCGTCCCACCCCCTCGTGTGCCGTGCCGGCCTTGATAGGTGCTACTCACTAACAGCACTTGCTCCAAATCTGTTAAGACTATACGGGTGTGGGTTTTTTTTTAGTATGTTTATATGTGTATAAAATAAAACTTACAGACGTTCCTGCCTGTCGAAAACAATCATCGCTAAAGTATTACAGGTCATATAAATGCGTTCTTTGATGCATTGCATCCAATGAATTCGGCTGATCTTTTATACATTCCCTATAGCGTTGTTGTACAATTGAATTCCAGTCAAATGTATATGGCAGCTGGCGCGTGCTCTGGACGTGTACATCCGTCCGTTCCTCCAGCCAGTAAAACTTTATATATATAACAGAGTACTGTACTGTATATATTTAAGGCCTACAAACAATCGTTGATAAAATAATTACGCTATTTAAAAAAAAAATCACTTTTTTTCGAAAGCCATCACGATCCTGTGATGTTTATGTTTGTTTTTAATGCAATGAAACAAAAGAGTATCTTAACAAGTGTAGTCTCCAACTCGTAGCGTTCTCTCTCTCTCTCCTAGCCCCTCTATGTACGTTGCCACTCAGCAGGGCCATTGCCCGAAACGTCGCTTATTATATCCTTATTTTAATGACATCAGGAATAATGTCATCAACCTCAAACCTCACACACCGTATCGGCTAACGTACAACACAGCCATTGCGATACCATCACCAGCACCACCACCACCATCACCACCACCATCATCATCGTCATCACCACCATCATCATCATCAAGCAGGTCACCCTCCTCACCTCCAAGCCGTCACGATCTTGCGATGTCAATCATCCACCCAGCACCTGGCCGCCGCTCGCGAGCTGAATCATCACCATCGCTCCATCTCCCTTGTGGTGGGTCCTCACGTGACATCTTTTACTTTCACCCTCCATCAAGGTGCCACTGCTTGATCGTTTGGCTTGTGCACATTGGGGGGACTTCGATTTTCCTCGCTCGGGGCCATCAGCGGTGGCGATTATCGGAAGCCGGTCCCGGGCCTCCCCTAGGTGGGCTCGGGTCGGGTGTGCGGTGAACATCGCCACTGGGGAGACAAAGGCGGCCGGGCGTGATGGTGGTGTTGGCCACGCGAGCCTCTGATGTAGCCCTTCCGACATTCATAGAGGTGCTAGCACGCAGCACTTGCCCCTACAGTCGTTTGAGACTACACGGGGGATCTTTGTCTTTGTATATACCTATACGCAGCGATGTATACCATAATAGATGTTTTTTTTTTCTTGGTTAGATCGCGTAAATTAGAATATAACCGTACGTGACAAACCTTAACAATTTGCCGCGTCGGGTGGTGGCGGGTTTAACGACACATTTATATTTGTGCGATCTAACCTAAAAACAAACACTCGAGTAGAGATGATATTTGTCGCGAGAGCCTCCGCTCCTACTACGTGTTAAACTGACGGTACTTGCGTGTATAGATGCGTGTGTGTGTGTGCGCGCGCGCGTGTCTGTGAATCGCGTGGTTACTATACTCTGTGTGTATTTAGCGCTGCTGTGTATTTATATTGTCTGTTGTAATGTGCTGGGATGTTGTGCGGCCGTTACCGATGCACTGCCGAGTGGACGCCTCGAACGCACGCAGCGCACAATCTACTGCCGGTGTTTTATTTCATTAACGATTAGCTCATCGACGCGCCCCGTCTAGACATTATCAGTATTTACATTTTCCGTGAAATGTCACGAATTTGAGGGACCCTTTCCCGTTTGTTCCACACAGAGACAAAGATCCCCCGTGTAGCCTCGCCCAGACTGTAGGGGGCAAGTGCTGTTCAGCGAGCAACACCTGTGAAGGCCGACACTGTGGCACACGAGGGGGGTGTGGGTGGCCAGCACCACGCTCGACCGCCTTTGTCTCCCCCTCCCCCCCAAGTGTGCTGTGATCGAAACGTCGTAGCTTTTCCGTTATTTTGTTTTTGTTATTTTCTTTTCACCTATCAACGTGACTTTACCGAAAGACCCAAAGAATGTGAATTCACGCAGTCACGCAAGCTTTGGGTTTGAGATTTTAAAACAATTTTACTTTGGGGTGACAATTTTGCGCCTTTCTCTGATTATATCATCCACGGCGAGCTCACCGCCACTCCCCACTTTTGCAGCGCTGGAAATTCCCAGGGCTTCATCTGTTACAGGGCTGCGGTCCCTCGAGTTTACTCCTCGGTGCGCAGAGGCATTGCCGGATTCAAACGACTGCCGAACGAATGTTTGAAGTGTGGGCTACGGTTGTGGTGCAGGGAGGGAGGGAGGGGAGGTGTGGAATAGGAAAATGATGTTATTTTTTTTCTGAATTTATCGTAAATGGAATTATTTGGAATCGTTTGAGGATTGCGTGTCGCGCCGGTAGCTTTGCGAGACGGTCGCGTGGTCAGAGCCGAGATGGTGAAGGGTTGATAAAGTCCTCATCCAGCAGTGGATTGATCCTGGCTGATTGCGGTGGTGCTGGTGCTGATGAGGCACTGCTTGTGGGAAACGCGCTACTCGTCACGTGTGTCCATGCGTTGTTGTTGTTGATGTATTTTGTTGATGTATTTTGTTGATGTGTTTATTATGGTTTGCGTTGGTGTCTTCGGTAGTTTGCGGTGTTGATCAGTTCGGTGGTGTTTGTTTACTCGCTGGTTCATCTTCTGTGATTCTTTCGGTAAAAGTCACCACCACGTAGAATGAGAATAAAATGATAAAATAAAACTATAAAATTCTCACGACGTTTCGGCCACAATGTAGCTACATTGTAGCTCTGTCGTCCCGACAGGTTTGTTCCTTTCACCTGAAGAAGGCCACTTGTGTTGTGGTCGAAACGTCGTGAGAATTGTATTGTTTTATTTTATTATTTTATTCTCATTCTACGTGGTGGTGACTTTACCGAAAGAGCCAAAGAAGATGAATCCTTGCAGTCACGAAAGCTTTAAATCGATACTCGCTGGTTGTTGATTAGTGTGGGGCTGTTGTTTGTGCTGATTGCTGTTGTGGTGTTTTCCTGCTGCTGCTGTTGTTGGTTGTTGTTGGTTGTTGTTGTTTATTGTTGTTATTTTGCAGGCGCTCGACGGGTTTCTCATTGCCGTTGCGAGCGACGGTCAGATCTTCTACGTATCGCCCAACGTGCAGCACTACCTGGGCTTCCCGCAGGCAAGTCCGGTGCCCCTATCAGCCTTGGTCAATCCACTGCTGCATGGAGACCTCCCTTACCCCCCCCCCCCCACACGTCCGAGTCACTGGCACGGGACGAGGTCCGACTGACACAAATCGAGAAACGGGTGCGCGTTGCCACGGAGTGATCCAATGTCTGTCGCGTTACTGTGGTGGCCGTCGTTGTCAAATGTGGCAGACACGTTTAGCGTTTACGTCTCATCTTGTCACATTGTCTCTCGTCTCGATATATAGTGGTAGGGGTAGTGATAGGTTTAGGGTAGTGATAGGGGTTAGGGTAGGCATAGGGGTAGGGTAGTGATAGGGGTAGTGATAGGGGTTAGTGTAGTGTTAGGGGTTAGGGTAGTGATAAGGTTTAGGGTAGTGATAGGGGTAGTGATAGGGGTAGTGATAGGGGTTAGGGTAGTGATAGGGGTTAGTGTAGTGATAGGTTTAGGGTAGTGATAGGGGTTAGGGTAGTGATAGGGGTAGTGATAGGGGTAGTGATAGGGGTTAGGGTAGTGTAGTGATAGGGTAGTGATATGGGTTGGGGTAGTGATAGGGGTTAGTGTAGTGATAAAGGTTAGGGTAGTGATAGGGTAGTGATAGGGGTTGGGGTAGTGATAGGGGTAGTGATAGGGGTTAGTGTAGTGTTAGGGTAGTGATAGGGGTAGTGATAGGGGTTATGGTAGTGATAGGGTAGTGATAGTGTAGTGATAGGGGTTAGGGTAGTGATAGGGGTAGTGATAGGGGTAGTGATAGGGTAGTGATAGGGGTTAGGGTAGTGATAGGGGTTAGTGTAGTGATAGGGGTTAGGGTAGTGCTAGGAGTAGTGATAGGGTAGTGAGAGGGTAGTGATAGGGGTAGTGATAGGGGTTAGTGTAGTGATAGGGGTAGTGATAGGGTAGTGATAGGGGTTAGGGTAGTGATAGGGGTAGTGATAGGGGTAGTGATAGGGGTAGTGATAGGGTAGTGATAGGGGTTAGGGTAGTGATAGGGGTTAGTGTAGTGATAGGGGTTAGGGTAGTGCTAGGGGTAGTGATAGGGTAGTGAGAGGGTAGTGATAGGGGTAGTGATAGGGGTTAGTGTAGTGTTAGTGTAGTGATAGGGGTAGTAATAAGGGTTAGTGTAGTGATAGGGGTAGTGATAGGGTAGTGATAGGGGTTAGGGTAATGATAGGGGTAGTGATAGGGGTAGTGATAGGGGCAGTGATAGGGTAGTGATAGGGGTTAGGGTAGTGATAGGGGTTAGTGTAGTGATAGGGGTTAGGGTAGTGCTAGGGGTAGTGATAGGGTAGTGAGAGGGTAGTGATAGGGGTAGTAATAAGGGTTAGTGTAGTGATAGGGGTAGTGATAGGGTAGTGATAGGGTAGTGATAGGGTAGAGATACGGGTCGAGCTGGGTCTGGTCGTAACTGGGGGCCGGTTGCAAGGGGTAGGAATGGGCTTGACCAAGGGTCGGCCACCAACATACTGCAACAAGAAGCGCCAATTATTTAGAAAACAAATTTTTTAACTCAATATTTGAAGAGCCACAAAGCGTGTGAATACGAGACACGGTGGTTTCTTAATCGATAATTATCAAAACATCCATTTAGACCGCGGGAGGAATCCGATGAGCTACGAAGCTGTTTTTTTTTTCTCACAGATGCCCAATAGACATCACGGAGACATTTGGGATGGGCAGTAAGAGACGGGTGGGGGGGGGTTGGTGTCGTAAGTGAGGAAGGGAGTCACGTTCGTGCAACGCACGAGCGAGCGAAGCGGGGACGTCAAAATCCACTCCCCCACCTCCTCCCCCCCCCCAACCAATTAATTTTAAATTGGCCCAAGACGTCACCATGGCCTTTCCCACCACCCCCCCCCCCACCCAACCATCGCCGATTGAAAGCGCGCCCACTCGCCCGCTATCTCGCCGCAAGGCGGCTGAGATAAAGAGGGGAAATTTCCTTTGCGGCTCTCGCTCTGCGGTCTAGGCAAAGTAGCAGAAGAGAAAAAAAGAGAGAGCGAGCAACCACCCCCCTCCCCCTCCCATCGCATTGGCCGATGGCGCTGCTGCTGCTACTGCTGCTACCACCGCTGCCTGGATGAAAGCCACGCCAGGTTTTTTTTTTTAATTGCTTTCATTCTTTCATTCATTCATGCCTTCATTCTTTCATTCAATCTTTCATTCATTCCTTCATGCTTTAATTCATTCTTTCATTCATGCCTTCATTCTCTCTTTCAAGCTTTCATTCTTTAATTATTATTTTTCCATTCATTCTTTCTTTAAATCTTTCATTCATTCTTCCATTCATTCCTTCATGCCTTCATTTTTTCATTCAATGTTTCATTAATTCTTTCATGCTTTAATTCATTCTTTCATTCACGCCTTCATTCTCTCTTTCAAGCTTTCATTCTTTCATTCATTCTTTCATTCATTCTTTCAATCCTTCATTCATTAAGCTTTCATTCATGATTTCATGTTTTAATTATTTTTTTCATTCATTCTTTCATTCTCTCTTTCAAGCTTTCGTTCCTTGATTAATTAATTAATTCTTTCCCTTTCATTGATTTTTTTCATTCGTGCCTTCATTCTTTCATTCAAGCTTTCATTCATTTTTTTATTAATTCTTTCATGCTTTAATTAATTCTTTCATTCATTATTTCATTCTCTCTTTTAAGCTTTCATTATTTTATTAATTTCCCCATCCACTCTTTAAATCTTTCATTCATTTTTTTATGCTTTAATTAATTCTTTCATTCAAGCTTTCATTCTTTCTTTCAAGCTTTCATTCTTTCATTCATTCTTTAATTCATTCATTCTTTCAATCTTTCATTCATTCATGCCTTCATTCTTTCATTAATTCTTTAATTCATTCATTCTTTCAATCTTTCATTCATTCATGCCTTCATTCTTTCATTCATTCCCCTGGCGGCACTGGCGGTCACAGGCGGCGCGGTGAGGCCGGCCGCGTGGAATGCGGCGACATCCATCAGCGAGGGGGTGGTGGTGGTGGCACCACGAGGCAGACAGGAGTCGGCACAACGATAACACGAGAAGAGACAGGGGGGGGTTTGTCGGATTCGGTGAAAAAATAACACCAACAACAACAAAAACCTCTCTCGATATTCCGAGAAGTCGCAAGTTGGCACGGTAAGGCGGGTTGCAGGTGGTGTCATCTGTCGGTCGTCTCAGTTAGCCAACCCATGGCACCTGCTGGGATCTGTCACGTGACCTCATGCACCTAGCCTGGCACGGTAAGGCGGGTTGCAGGTGGTGTCACCTGTCGGTGATCTCAGTCAGCCAACCCATGGCACCTGCTGGGATCTGTCCCGTGACCTCATGCACCTAGCCTGGCACGGTAAGGCGGGTTGCAGGTGGTGTCATCTGTCGGTGATCTCAGTCAGCCAACCCATGGCACCTCCTGGGGTCTGTCACGTGACCTCCTGCACCTAGCCTGGCACGGTAAGGCGGGTTACAGATGGTGTCATCTGTCAGTCGTCTCAGTCAACCAACCCATGGCACCTCCTGGGGGTCTGTCCCGTGACCTCATGCACCTAGCCTGGCACGGTAAGGCGGGTTGCAGGTGGTGTCATCTGTCGGTCGTCTCAGTCGGCCAACCCATGGCACCTGCTGGGGTCTGTCCCCTGACCTGCTGGGTCAGCGAGCCATCGACACTTCACGTGGCCTCAAAGTGCACCTAGCCTGGCACAGGCGCCGCGGTGACGTCACCGACACATAGTGGCGAATGGCGGGGTGTCATTATATTATTTATATGTATGTTGAACTTCTTTCGCACCCTACGTAGCCAACCATGGTTAATCGGAGGTGCGATGTGTTAGTAACGACACGAAGCGGCCCACCCAGCGGTGGCTATGAGATGTTAACTACCTCGCCTGGTGTGCAGGAGGTCGTGGGTTCGATCCTGACCCTGACGCCTGCTGCTGTATATTTGAAGTTTGCGTGTCTCTCTCATCATCATCACGGTAGCTATGAGATGTTACGTACCTCGCCTGGTCTACAGGAGGTCGTGGGTTCGATCCTGACCCTGACACCTGCTGTATATTTGAAGTTTGTGCGTCTCTCTCTCTAATCATCATCACGGTGGCTAGGAGATGTTAACTACCTCGCCTGGTGTGCAGGAGGTCGTGGGTTCGATTCTGACCCTGACACCTGCTGCTGTATATTTGAAGTTTGTGCGTCTCTCTCTCTCTCATCATCATCACGGTGGCTAGGATATGTTAACTACCTCGCCTGGTGTGCAGGAGGTCTTGGGTTCGATCCCGACCCTGACGCCTGCTGTATATTTGAAGTTTGCGTGTCTCTCTCTCTCTCATCATCATCACGGTGGCTAGGAGATGTTAACTACCTCGCCTGGTCTACAGGAGGTCGTGGGTTCGATCCTGACCCTGACACCTGCTGTATATTTGAAGTTTGTGCGTCTCTCTCTCTAATCATCATCACGGTGGCTAAGAGATATTAACTACCTCGCCTGGTGTGCAGGAGGTCGTGGGTTCGATCCCGACCCTGACGCCTGCTGATATATATTTCAAGTTTGCGTGTCTCTCTCACCATCATCATCATCACGGTGGCTAGGAGATGTTAACTACCTCGCCTGGTGTGCAGGAGGTCGTGGGTTCGATCCCGACCCTGACGCCTGCTGTATATTTGAAGTTTGCGCGTCTCTCTCTCTCTCATCATCATCACGGTGGCTATGAGATGTTAACTACCTCGCCTGGTATACAAGAGGTTGTGGGTTCGATCCCGACCCTGGCACCTGCTGTATATTTGGAGTTTGCGTGTCTCTCTCTCTCATCATCATCACGGTGGGCTAGGAGATGTTAACTACCTCGCCTGGTGTGCAAGAGGTCGTGGGTTCGATCCCGACCCTGACGCCTGCTGCTGATGTATATTTGAAGTTTGCGTGTCTCTGTCTCTCTCTTCCCGCAGCTGCGTGGGTCCTCCGATTTTTGCCTACTCACATTTAGAATCAACGTCGCGCATTCAGAGAATTTAGCTGCTGCTCTAAATGTCCACGTGATGATGACAAACCCACTTCCTTGAGCTATCATTTGTGATAGCCAGGTCCGCTTCTGGAAAAAGAGCTAGCGAGCTCAGTGGGGTCCTTACCCTGGTAAAAAATCAAATAGTTTAATAGTTTAGTTTAAGTACATCACGTAGAAGGCTTTCGCGACCAATATTATTCATAATAAAGGTTTTTGGGTTAGATCGCTGTAAGTATCAATGTGTCGTAACCTTCCACCACCCGACACAGCCAGTGAGGTTCGTCACGTAAACAAAGCACCAGCTAGTTACTAATATAGTGTATAGGGTAGTGTACAGTAGTGTAGTGTATAGTGCAGTGTATTGTATAGTAGTGTATAGTGTAGTGTATATTAGCGTGTAGTGTATTGTGTAGTATACTACTTCAGCCCATCGGTGTGGTGGAGAGTAAATCCACAACGTTTACAATTTGAATAGTACGACGTTTCGCTAGTAATTACACACCCAGCATCAGCGGGCGATTGCTTCACTATTCTGGCAAAATCGCCCGCTGATGCTGGATGTGTAATTACCAGCGAAACGTCGTACTACTCAAATTGTAAACGTTGGTGGATTTACTCTCCAACACACCGGTGGGCTGAAGTAGTACACCACACAATACACTACTATAAACTACACTATACACTACAATACACGCACAATGCACTATACGAGTAACTAATTGGCGCGTTGTTCACGTGACAAACCTTACCGGCCGTGTCGGGTGGTGGAGGGTTACCGACACAACATTTATACTTACAGCGATCTAACTCGGAAGAAAAAAACCCCACCTTGATTATGAGTTGAGTTTAAGAAATCCTTGAGCTGCCCAGCCGGGTGACCCTCTGCGAGGAGGAGTCTCTGGTTTGACCCCGAGGCGATGTCTCTGCGGCGTTGCAGACCGACCTCGTCCAGCAGAGCGTGTACGACCTCGTCCACGTGGAGGACAGGGAGGGCGTTCATCGCGAGCTCAGCTTGGCCCCCAGCGGAACCGATGCAGCCCGGCTCACCGGTACGTGGGGCCTCACCCGGCACTCGCCTCTCACCTCTCACCTCTAACCTCTAACCTCTCACCTCTCCCTTCTCACCTCTCACCTCTCCTCTCTCACCTCTCCCCTCTCACCTCTCCCCTCTCACCTCTCCCCTCTCACCTCTCACCTCTAACCTCTCCCTTCTCACCTCTAACTTCTCACCTCTCCCCTCTCCCCTCTCACCTCTCCCCTCTCCTCTCTCACCTCTCCCCTCTCACCTCTCACCTCTAACCTCTCCCCCCTCCTCTCTCACCTCTCCCCTCTCACCTCTAACCTCTCACCTCTCCCCTCTCACCTCTCCCCTCTAACCTCTCCTCTCTCACCTGCCCCCTCACCTCTCTTCACACTCCTCCGTGCACTTTTCCCCCTCCGACTCGAACGCAGTCCACTCTGTATCTGCTTATGGACACTCTCACGACACTCTCACGACACTCTCACTCACTCTCAGGTCACCTCTAACCTCTCCCTTCTCACCTCTAACTTCTCACCTCTCCCCTCTCCCCTCTCACCTCTCCCCTCTCCTCTCTCACCTCTCCCCTCTCACCTCTCCCCTCTCACCTCTCACCTCTAACCTCTCCCCCCTCCTCTCTCACCTCCCCTCTCTCACCTCTAACCTCTCACCTCTCCCCTCTCACCTCTCCCCTCTCACCTCTCCTCTCTCACCTCTCCCCTCTCACCTCTCACCTCTAACCTCTCCCCCCTCCTCTCTCACCTCTCACCTCTAACCCCTCACCTCTTCCCTCTCACTTCTCACCTCTCCCCTCTAACCTCTCCTCTCTCACCTGCCCCCTCACCTCTCTTCACACTCCTCCGTGCACTTTTCCCCCTCCGACTCGAACGCAGTCCACTCTGTATCTGCTTGTGGACACTCTCACGACACTCTCACGACACTTTCACGACACTCTCACGCGCGTGAGAGTGTCGTGAAAGTCACGTGAGAGTGAGTGAGAGTGAGTGTAAGAGTGAGTGAGTGAGAGTGAGAGTCAGTGAGAGTTAGTGAGAGTGAGAGTGAGTGTAAGAGTGAGTGAGAGTGAGTGAGAGTGAGTGTAAGAGTGAGAGTGAGTGAGAGTGAGTGAGCGTGAGAGTAAGAGTGAGAGTGAGTGAGAGTGAGTGTAAGAGTGAGAGTGAGTGAGTGAGAGTGAGTGTAAGAGTGAGAGTGAGTGAGAGTGAGTGTAAGAGTGAGAGTGAGTGAGAGTGAGTGAGAGTGAGTGTAAGAGTGAGAGTGAGTGAGAGTGAGTGAGCGTGAGAGTAAGAGTGAGAGTGAGTGAGAGTGAGTGTAAGAGTGAGTGAGAGTGAGTGAGAGTGAGTGTAAGAGTGAGTGAGAGTGAGTGAGAGTGAGTGAGTGAGAGTGAGTGAGAGTGAGTGAGCGTGAGAGTGAGTGAGAGTGAGTGTAAGAGTGAGAGTGAGTGAGAGAGTGAGTGAGAGTGAGTGAGTGAGAGTGAGTGAGAGTGAGTGAGAGTGAGAGTGAGTGAGTGAGAGTGAGTGTAAGAGTGAGAGTGAGTGAGAGTGAGTGAGTGAGAGTGAGTGAGAGTGAGTGAGTGAGAGTAAGAGTGAGAGTGAGTGAGTGTAAGAGTGAGAGTGAGTGAGAGTGAGTGAGTGAGTGAGAGTGAGAGAGTGAGTGAGAGTGAGTGAGAGTGAGAGTAAGAGTGAGTGAGTGAGAGTGAGTGAGAGTGAGAGTGAGTGAGAGTGAGTGAGAGTAAGAGTGAGAGTGAGTGAGTGAGAGTGAGTGAGTGAGAGTGAGTGAGAGTGTGTGAGAGTGAGAGTGAGTGAGAGTGAGTAAGAGTGAGTGAGTGAGAGTGAGAGAGTGAGAGAGTGAGAGTGATAGAGTGAGGGCGAGTGAGAGTGAGGGTGAGAGTGAGTGAGAGTGAGTGAGTGAGAGTGAGAAAGAGAGTAGGAGTGAGAGTATGAGTGAGAGTGAGTGAGAGTAAGAGTGAGAGTGAGTGAGAGTGCGTGAGAGTGAGAGAGTGAGTGAGAGTAAGAGTGAGAGTGCGTGAGAGTGAGTGAGAGTGAGTGAGAGTGAGTTAGAGTGAGAGTGAGAGTAAGAGTGAGAGTGCGTGAGAGTAAGAGTGAGAGTAAGAGTGAGTGAGAGTGAGAGTAAGAGTGAGTAAGAGTGAGTGAGAGTGAGTGAGAGTAAGAGTGAGTAAGAGTGCGTGAGTGAGAGTGCGTGAGTGAGAGTGAGTAAGAGTGAGAGTAAGAGTGAGAGTGAGTGAGTGAGAGTAAGAGTGAGAGTGAGTAAGAGTGAGAGTGAGTGAGAGTGAGTGAGTGAGAGAGAGTGAGAGTAAGAGTGAGAGTGAGTAAGAGTGAGTGAGTGAGAGTGAGAGGGAGTAAGAGTGAGAGAGAGTAAGAGTGAGAGTGAGTGAGAGTGAGAGTAAGAGTGAGTGAGTGAGAGTGAGTGAGAGTGAGAGAGAGTAAGAGTGAGTGAGAGTGAGTGAGTGAGAGTGAGAGAGAGTAAGAGTGAGAGTGAGTGAGAGTGAGTGAGTGAGAGTGAGTGAGAGTGAGTGAGTGAGAGTAAGAGTGAGAGTAAGAGTGAGAGTAAGAGTGAGAGTGAGTGAGTGTAAGAGTGAGAGTGAGTGAGAGTGAGTGAGTGAGTGAGAGTGAGAGAGTGAGTGAGAGTGAGTGAGAGTGAGAGTAAGAGTGAGTGAGTGAGAGTGAGTGAGAGTGAGAGTGAGTGAGAGTGAGTGAGAGTAAGAGTGAGAGTGAGTGAGAGTGAGTAAGAGTGAGTGAGTGAGAGTGAGAGAGTGAGAGAGTGAGAGTGATAGAGTGAGGGCGAGTGAGAGTGAGGGTGAGAGTGAGTGAGAGTGAGTGAGTGAGAGTGAGAAAGAGAGTAGGAGTGAGAGTATGAGTGAGAGTGAGTGAGAGTAAGAGTGAGAGTGAGTGAGAGTGCGTGAGAGTGAGAGAGTGAGTGAGAGTAAGAGTGAGAGTGCGTGAGAGTGAGTGAGAGTGAGTGAGAGTGAGTTAGAGTGAGAGTGAGAGTAAGAGTGAGAGTGCGTGAGAGTAAGAGTGAGAGTAAGAGTGAGTGAGAGTGAGAGTAAGAGTGAGTAAGAGTGAGTGAGAGTGAGTGAGAGTAAGAGTGAGTAAGAGTGCGTGAGTGAGAGTGCGTGAGTGAGAGTGAGTAAGAGTGAGAGTGAGTGAGTGAGAGTAAGAGTGAGAGTGAGTAAGAGTGAGTGAGAGTGAGTGAGAGTGAGTGAGTGAGAGAGAGTGAGAGTAAGAGTGAGAGTGAGTAAGAGTGAGTGAGTGAGAGTGAGAGGGAGTAAGAGTGAGAGAGAGTAAGAGTGAGAGTGAGTGAGAGTGAGTGAGAGTGAGTGAGAGTGAGTGAGTGAGAGTGAGAGAGAGTAAGAGTGAGAGTGAGTGAGAGTGAGTGAGTGAGAGTGAGTGAGAGTGAGTGAGTGAGAGTGAGAGTAAGAGTGAGAGTAAGAGTGAGTGAGTGAGAGTAAGAGTGAGAGTGAGTGAGGGAGTGAGAGTAAGAGTAAGAGTGTAAGAGTGAGAGAGTAAGAGTGAGAGTAAGAGTGAGGGTAAGAGTGAGTGAGAGTGAGTGAGTGAGAGTGAGTGAGAGTAAGAGTGAGAGTGAGTAACAGTGAGTAAGTGTGAGAGTGAGTGAGAGTAAGAGTAAGAGTGAGTGAGAGTGAGAGAGAGTAAGAGTGAGAGTGAGTGAGTGAGAGTGAGTGAGAGTAAGAGTGAGAGTAAGAGTGAGAGTGAGTGAGAATGAGAGAGAGTAAGAGTGAGTGAGAGTGAGTGAGAGTGAGAGAGAGTAAGAGTGAGAGTAAGAGTGAGAGTGAGTGAGTGTCGAGCGAACGACGCCACAAACCCGGCGACCTGGATTCCATTCCTGCTCACAGATAACGCCGGTGACGATTACGTGAACCGGTTCTGGGCCTCCCCTAGGTCGACCCAGCCTCAAATGAGTGCCTGGTGCGGTGTGTAGTAAACGTCGCCGCTGGGGAGACAAAGGCGGCCGGGCGTGGTGTTGGCCACCCACCCCCTTCGTCTGCCATGCCGACTTTCATTGATGGTACTCGTTTACAGCACTTGCCCCAGCAGTCTGTCAAGGCTACACGGGGGATGTTTGCCTTTTGCCACTTAACACCAATGAATATCCTTGCCAACAAGATGTCCCATTCTCCATGGATTTTCAAAGTGATGTGAACTAAAACTATGTTTGGTTTCACCTTCTGGGTTCTTTCGGTAAAGTCACGTAGAATGCAAACGAATAAATAAAAAGTAATAAAATAAAATAAAATTCTCACGACGTTTCGGCCACAACACAAGTAGCCTTCTTCAGGTGAAGGAACAGAACTGTCTGGAGGCAGTCATATCGCCTACATGTTTCCAATCCGATGTAGACATTGTTTGCCGTGACTTTACCGAAAGAACCAAGAAGATTCATCCCGGCAGTCACGAAAGCTTTAAATCGAAATTTATTTTTGGTTTATTGTTACCAGGTAAGGGTCCACTGAGCTGCTGTGTAGCTCTTTATTCAGAAGCGACCTGGCCATCACAAATGATAGCCCAACGAAGTGGCATCTTGTCATCATCACCACCACCACCACGTGGTCATGTATAGCAGCAGCCAAATACTCTAAACGCGTGATGTTGATTCTAAACGGAGGGGAAACTCAGAGGACCCGGAGAAAAATCCACGCGACCACGGAGGGGGGAGAGACACCACAAACTCCAAATATACAGCAGGCGACAGGGGTTGGGATCGAACCCACGACGTCCTGCACACCAGGCGAGGTAGTTAACATCTCCTAGCCACCGTGATGATGAGAGAGACACGCAAACTCCAAATATACAGCAGGTGTCAGGGTCTGGATTGAACACCACGACCTCCTGTGTACCAGGCGAGGTAGTTAGCATCTCCTAGCCACCGTGATGATGGTGAGAGAGAGAGAGACACGCAGACTTCAAATATACAGCAGCAGGCGTCAGGGTCGAGATCGAACACCACGACCTCCAGTGTACCAGGCGAGGTAGTTAACATCTCCTAGCCACCGTGATGATGATGAGAGAGAGAGAGAGACACACGCAGACTTCAAATATACAGCAGGCGACAGGGGTTCGGGATCGAACACCACGACCTCCTGCACACCAGGCGAGGTAGTTAACATCTCCTAGCCACCGTGATGATGATGAGAGAGAGAGACACGCAGACTCCAATTACACAGCAGGCATCAGGATCAGGATCAAACCCACGACCTCCGGCACACCAGGCGAGGTAGTTAACATCTCCCAGCCACCGTGATGATGATGAGAGAGAGAGACACGCAGACTCCAAATACACAGCAGCAGGCGTCAGGGTCGAGATCGAACACCACGACCTCCTGTGTACCAAGCGAGGTAGTTAACATCTCCTAGCCACCGTGATGATGATGAGAGAGAGACACGCAGACTCCAAATATACAGCAGGTGTCAGGATCAGGATCGAACCCACGACCTCCTGCACACCAGGCGAGGTAGTTAACATCTCCTAGCCACCGTGATGATGATGAGAGAGAGAGAGACACGCAGACTCCAAATACACAGCAGGCGTCAGGGGCTGGAGCTCGAACCCACGACCTCCTGCACACCAGGCGAGGTAGTTAACATCTCCTAGCCACCGTGATGATGATGATGAGAGAGAGAGGCACGCAGACTCCAATTACACAGTAGCAGGCGTCAGGATCAGGATCGAACCCACGACCTCTTGCACACCAGGCGAGGTAGTTAACATCTCCTAGCCATCGTGATGATGATGAGAGGCACGCAGACTCCAATTACACAGCAAGTGTCAGGATCAGGATTGAACCCACGACCTCCTGCACACCAGGCGAGGTAGTTAACATCTCCTAGCCACCGTTATGATGGTGAGAGACACGCAAACTCCAAATACACAGCAGGCGTCAGGGGCTGGAGCTCGAACCCACGACCTCCTGCACACCAGGCGAGGTAGTTAACATCTCCTAGCCATCGCAGCGGTTTTTTTTTTCTTTCTTATTTTACCAATTCAAGTAAATGCAAAATTAAAATCGGCGGGCTCACTCCTCCTCCGTTCCTTCCTTCGGTTTCAAACTGCTCGGCCTCAGCGAGTGAGTCACCGGCCCGCACTGCCGCCACTCTGAAGCCAGAGCTGGGACGATTCGTCACTCGCATCGCTCCGGGTTTTCCCGGACGCCCGAGGTGCGGTCGGAGAGACTGGATGGAGTCCTCTGGTCGAACACCGTTTTTGAGACGAGGCACGAAAGAAAGGCGTCCACGGTGTGGACCAATCAGTTATCAAAGACAATGCCATCATAAGCTATCAGAGCGTGTGTTGGTTTTTTTTTGTTTTAGCATTCTGACCACAAGTATCGTGGGTTGATGCAGACGCGATTTCTTTTTAAAAGTTTCAGTTTGGTGTTTTAACGTCTTAACGCAGCTGTTTTGTTTGCCAGAAATTGGGGGATGAACTTATTCTCACGGATGGCGGTTGTTTTTATTTGTTTTTATTTGTTTTATTAGTTTTTATTTGTTTTTATTTGTTTTTATTTGTTTTTATTTGTTGGTGTTGGTTGCGAATCGACGCGCGGCGGCTCGAGACAAATGACAGTCGAGAGTTGGGGGGAGAGGGGGGGAGGTCCACGTGTCTTGTTCGTGAACCCCCGGGTTGAGGACTCACGGGGTCAAGGTGGAGTCTCTTTGGGTGACCCCTTGGCGGCAGCGGTGGGAGGGAGGTCAAAGGGCCCCCACCAGCACCCCCACCACCACCACCACCACCCCCACCACCCCCACGACTCCACCACCCCCACCACCCCCACTACCACCACCCCCACCACCGCCACCACCGCCCCCACCACCACCACCCCCACCACCACCACAACCACCACCCCCACCACCCCCACCACCACCACCCCCACCACCACCACCACCCCCACTACCACCACCCCCACCACCGCCACCCCCACCACCGCCTCCACCACCACCACCCCCACCACCCCCACCACCACCACCACCCCCCACCACCCCCACCACCACCACCCCCACCACCACCACCACCCCCACCACCACCACCCCCACCACCACCACCCCCACCGCCCCCACCACCACCACCACCCCCACCACCACCACCCCCACCACCACCACCCCCACCACCACCACCCCCACCACATTTTAATTATCCGAAACCCTTGTGTGTGTGAAGTGTTGTCCACCCGTGTAAAATTGTGAACACGGCGTAATGAACATCACGCGGGTATTGGTCTACAAATGCAACTCGAGTTGCATTTTTATATTGCTGGACCTGCTGCATGCTCTAGGTCGGCTCAGCCTTAAGTGAGCGCGGTGGGGTGTGTTTTACACGGAGGAGACTTTCGCGACAAATATCGTCCAACTATACTACATGATTTGTGTGTGTGTGGTGTGGCTGTGTGGTGTGTATGGTGTGTGTGGTGTGTGTGGTGTGTGTTGTGTGTTGTGTGTGTGGTGTGTGTGTGGTGTGTGTGTGGTGTGTATGATGTGTGTGGTGTGTGTGGTGTGTGTGTGGGGTGTGTCTGTGTGTGGTGTATGTGTGTGTGGTGTGTGTGTGTGTGGTGTGTGTGGTGTGTGTGGTGTGTGTTGTGGTGTGTGTGTGGTGTGTGTGGTGTGTGTGTGGGGTGTGTGTCTGTGTGTGGTGTATGTGTGTGTGGTGTGGTGTGTGTGGTGTGTGTTGTGGTGTGTGTGTGGTGTGTTTGGTGTGTATGTGGGGTGTGTCTGTGTGTGGTGTGTGTGTGGTGTGTGTGGTGTATGTGTGTGTGGTGTATGTGTGTGTGGTGTGTTGTGGTGTGTGTGGTGTATGTGGTGTGTGTTGTGGTGTGTGGTGTGTGTGATGTTTGGGTGTGTGGTGTATGTGTGTGTGGTGTGTGTGTGTGATGTTTGTGTGTGTGGTGTGTGTCTGTAGTGTGGTGTGTGTGTGACTCTTTTGGGGGATACTTGTGTCTGATGCCGCGTGTCCTTGTGTGTTTGTGAATGCGGGTGGGTGTGTGTGTACCTGAATGTGGGTGGTGTGTGTGTACCTGAATGTAGGTGGTGTGTGTGGTGTGTGTGTACCTGAATGTAGGTGGTGTGTGTGGTGTGTGTGTACCTGAATGTAGGTGGTGTGTGTGGTGTGTGTGTACCTGAATGTAGGTGGTGTGTGTGGTGTGTGTGTACCTGTGTGTGTGTGTGCGGGGGGGAGCGGTGGTGCAACGGTTAGCGCGCCGCACTACGAACCCGGCGAACCCGGGTTCGATTCCCGCTCACGACCAACGCCAGTGACAATTATCTGACCCGGTCCTGGGCCTCCCCTAGGTCGTCTCAGCCTCAAATGAGTACCTGGTGCGATGTGTAAACATCGTCACTAGGGAGACAAAGGCGACCGGGCGTGGTGCTGGCCACCCACCCCCTCGTGTGCCGTGCCATGCCTTCATAGGTGCTGTTCGCTAACAGCACTTGCCCCCTACAGTCTCACAGGCTACACGGGGGATCTTTGTCTTTGTCCCGTGTGTGTGTGGGGTGTGGGGTGTGGGCAGCGATTGGCGCGCTGCGCTCCGAACCCGGCGACCCGAGTTCGACTCCGGCTCACGGCCACCGCCGTGACGAGGACGGCGGTCGCTGTGGCTGTGGCTGCGACCTCTGTCTCTGTGCGTGCCCCCAGGCGCTGGCGCCGTGGGCTCGCCGCTCCCGGCGGCCGTGGCGGGCGCCCTGCCGGAGGAGAAGTCTCCGTTGCTGGAGCGGAGCTTCGCGTGCCGCTGCCGCTGCCTCCTGGAGTGTGCCGCGGGGTTCCTGGTGGGCGCCAACACGCGGCGACGAAATATTCCCCTCCTTCCCCCCCTCACTCCCTCCCTCCCTTCCCCTCCCTCCCCTCCCCTCCCTCCGTGTTTGTCGCCTTTAACAGGGGCGAGTGCTGTTAAGCGAGCAGCAGCTAACAAAGGCCGTACATTGAACATTCTTATCGTTTCCGACAACGTCGCATGCTACGCCGTTATCCTGTTCAGGGCGACGGACTCACTCTGCCGTTGCGCAACGTATGATAGCAGCAGCAGCAGCAGTGTTGTGGTTCAGGAGCTCGACGATGCCAATGTGGAGGTCTCCTGCTGCTGCTGCTGGTCACGACGAGAGTGCTTCAGCAGAGAGAGAGAGAGAGTTCCTGTGTCGTGTCGCTCATCATCCTCCTCCTCCGCTCAAGGAGCGGCAGACCGCGGTGGTTTACGATCCGGTCCGCAGTTTCGCCGCGGTGCTGTTGGCGAATGCGTCGAGGCTTTTTCGTTGTTTCTGTTTTCGTTGCGCGCCACGGCCGACGCAGCAGATCATCAAATCATCAGTCCCAGCCAGGGGCTTCCTCGGGGGGGGGCCCCAGGGGCTTCCTCGGGGGGGGGGCCCAGGGGCTTCCTCGGGGGGGGGGGGGGCGGCCCTTCGCCAAACAGCAACCCCCCCCTCCCCCCTCGCTCCCCGTGTGACGGTGCAGAAGCTGCACGTGAGGGGACGTCTGCGGGTCCTGCACGGACAGACACCGCCCCCCAGCGCGCGCCCCCCAGGCTCCCGCAGGCTCTCCCGCCAGCCCCCCAGGCCCCGGCGGCAGCCCCACCTCATCCTCGTCGCCGTGGCAACGCCCGCGGACCCCTCCTCGTCCTCGCCCGTCGCCGCCGGCGACGGAGGAGCGGAGTCGGTACCCGGCGGCCGCGCGACGCGAGTCAGGTGACCGCCGCCGGCGTTTTCGTTGCGCGGCGTGGGATCGTCGTGCGAAAGGCAACCGCCCGCTTCACGCCGCTGCTGGTGGAAGGGGGCCTTCGCCAGCGTGGAGCCCCGGAGAGCCACGCCGGGCAGGGCATCTGCGTGCCGAATCTCTTGCACGCTTATACGAATAAATATTCATATATCTTGCTTCTTTTTTTTTTCCGAAAAGTTTATCCCAAAGTCGGGTTTGCACGGTTTGGCGACGTAACGGCGCGAGAGAGGTTCAGCACGCACGCGCATACCCTGCACAGCACAACGTGCCACGGGACTAAAGAGTCCATTTGGATCTCACGCAGGGGCATTGCGACTCTTGGCGCCGGAGAACGGGTTCCACGGAAGCGGACACCGTAGAGCTACCTCCCGAGATCCTTTCACCTGACCTCTGGGCCACACGCAGCACCCCGCCCGCTGCCACCACCAGTGATGTCCTTCGCTTGACAGAGATCGGGAAATTTTTGCCAAATTGGGTCTCGAACCAAATCTCAACGTGACTGTTTCTCGTTTTGTGACCGGGTGTGAGACCATCAACTCAGCTGCGCTCGAGAACCCGGTTTAATCGCAAACTCGGGCGATGCACGTCTGTGGATCTCTACGCGAGTCTATGGGTATCTGTGCGAGTCAATGGCGATTGGGCCGAGACCGTCAACTCAGGTGCACTCGTGAACCCGCTATCATCACAACTCACTCTACGCACGAGTCTACGGGGTCTGTATCTACGCTAGTCCGTGGGTCTCCACGCGAGCTCTATGGGTCTCGGTCTAATCGATTGGTGAGCGGGCTGGACTTGTCGGCTCGCCACGTTTGTCGAACCCAGGTTCTCGGCGACGTTGGCCCGGCGCTCTGATGTTCGCGTACGACAGCCAATAACCACGCGGTTCATCCGTCCCTCTGCGGCAGCGGCCTGGACGGGGACGGCAGGCGCCGGCACAGACTCGCCCGGAGCTCCTGCGGCTCGTCCTCCTCCTCCTCCTCGTCCTCCTCCTCCTCCTCCTCGTTGTCGTCCCTCGAGGCGACTCCCCGCGGACCCCGCGAGGTCCTCCTGGCCGCGCCGCGTGCTCCCCTCGCCGGGCCGCGCGTCCACGGCCCGGCGGCTCCCCACGCGGGAGGCCTCGGCGCCGCCACCGGCGAGGACGTCGGGAGCTCGCGCCCTCGCAGCGGCCCTCGTCACCCGTCGCCGGCGATCTCCGCCGCCGACCACGCCGACGACCTGGGCCCCATGTGCGACGGCGACGGCTGCGGCGGCGGCGGCGGCGGCGGCGCCGCGTGGGCCGCGAGCTCCGAGGACGACGGCATCTCCGACATGCTGCAAAGGTACGGCCTCGACCGCGACGACATCCGGAGCGCCCTGGCCCACGACATCTTCGCGCCCGTCGACCCGAGCCTCGTCAAGTCGGAGGGCGCGGAGGACCCGCCGCCGGGCTGCTGGCAGGAGGCCGGAGGCCGCGCGGTCGCCGGACCGCGGCGGCCGCCGCCGCCGCCGCCGCCGCCGCGCCGGGGAGAGCTCGCCGTGAAAAGCGAGCGGGGATCTGCGTTCCCGCCGGGAGAGTCGCCGCCCTCCCCGCCGTCGTTCCCACGTGGCCCCGGCCGCCCGGCCCCGCCGGACGGGCGACGGGAACGGCACGGGGGCCCCGCGCCGGCGCGCCCGGGCGAGGCCTCGGCGTTCGGCCGGCACCAGGAGGCGGCAACCATTTCGCGAGCGGCTCCCGGGGGCTGCGGCGCCGCGGGCGCCAGGGCGGAAACGCCGCCCGCTTCGGCGGCGGGGCAGACGCGCGCCCACGGCAGCGGGTACCACGCGCCGCGGCCGTGCCAGCGGAGCGGGCACTGGGATAGACGCCGCTGCATCCTCAAGTTGGAGGCGCACGACTGCGCGGTTCAACTCAGAGCGGACGGTTTCTATGCAGATTTGTAACGGGGCGCCGGGCAAGCGGACGCCAGCGACTGCCTCGAACCACCGTGCCCAACACACACACACACACGCGCGCAAGCATGTTATTTGCTTGTATTTTCACCACAAGTATATGTGGTGAATGCAGACATGATTTCCTGCGAAAGGTTTCGCTTTTGGTGTTTTGACATCTTAACACCTGTTTTATTGCCAGAAAGGGGAAAACCATTCTTATATTTTGACACTGGCAAAGGAGGTCACATGACACACACACACACACGTGTTTACGAACGCCATCGCCGGCCGTTATCTCTCTACTGTTGGCCGAAGGGCTCCAGCCGTCGCCATTCCTTGCGGTCGCGCGACGCTTGCACCATACTCGGGCACGTGCTGCGCAACGAGCGTTCTCTCCCTCCGAGAATTCGCTGCGGGGAGCGATTTGAACCGAGACCCATTTGTTCGCAAAACGAGCTCAATGTTCACGTAACGAGCGGAGGCTGATCAATCAAGTGCGTCGCGGCCCACGGCTGTTTGTTGCTTGCATCGTGCGGCGCTTTCGGATGCGCTTCTGCGGCCGTCTGGTACTGTAACGCTTTCTTCCAATATTGGGAAACCTCGAGGAGCTTTGCACTTTTAAATCTAAAACTCGTTTCTTTAGAACTGCTATTTGTGTTTAGTTTGTCGTCCTTCCCCCGCACCTCCGATTAGCGCGGTTGGCTACGTACGGTGCCGAAGAAGTTCAACACGCATACGTAGAAGCCAACTGCACCGCGCGACACTTTCAGATTCGCTTTTGCCGCCGCCTGGAACGCTCTTCCTTAATATTAGGAAGCCACCGGAGCTATGCACTTTGAAATAATCGTCGAGATTGATAAACTCAATTCTTTAGAACTGCTTTTAGCGTTTAGTTTATTTTGTTCTTCCCCGCATCTCCGATTAGCGCGGTTGGCTACGCACGGTGTGGGAGACGGGTGACGCTGAGGGCAGGCACCTGCAAGCGCTGCGACTCTCCACCGTGTGTGATGTTATACTCGATGTTTTATTACTTTCTTTTAAAATTATAATTTGCATTTCTCACGTAAAAAAAGGTTGTCCAAGGGTGGAACATTTTGGGGCCGAAACGCAACTCGGCGTTTTAACACGAGCAACATATCTGGCTCGTCAAAACGAGACACGCCTGCATCATGATTATTATTCATAGCCATGGCAAGTTTATTTGTTTAGGCAGGTGGGAACTCAAGAGAGCGGAATAGTCTCATTTGCAAAAGCAATCTTCGTCACCACAATGGCAAAATCGATTAAATGAAATGCAGCCACGAGCAAGATAAAGGGTACAGGTGTGTGTGTGTATATATGATTAGTACTTGAAATCAGGTCTTCAAATTACTGCGTACAACCTAAACAAAATCTTCACTTTTGGATATTGACACTTTACATTAAGGCAGTGGTTCTTCTTAACCTGGGGTGCAAGCTGCACCCCGTGGGTGCGAGATGCCCTTTCTGGGGGGGGGAGGGGGGTGGTAGGTGGCGAGACGTGGCCAGATTTTTTTTTAGAAGGCAAATCATAGACAACACAAATTGAGCACGGGCACGTGAAGTTACAACATACTTTCTTTCATCAAACCCTACGTATGTATTAACACACATTGTTTTAACGTTTGAGAGCCAAAATGGGTGCAAGGCTGCAGTGTAACGGTTAGGAGCCACTGCTTTAATGGGACGGACATGGTATAGCAGCAAGGTAATACTGTTAATATGGGTTGCGTTCACTTCACTTGCAACACGTGCACACAGGTGCACATTTCACGCCCCTATACAAACAGAAGGGACACGTGCAATTGTAAGGTTTTGGAGGGAGCGGAGATATTTTGAAATATTTATAATTGGACAGTTGTTGTGTAGGATTTGCTGATGAAAGTTAATTGGTATACGTTGTACGAATGGATCGCGCCTTTGATTTTTTTTTGTTCCTCATCAGCCTTGTTAAATTTGAAGCATTGCTGAATTTCTCAATGCACTGCTGGAATATGGACCTCCCTTGTTCCAGCATGTGGGGCCTATTTGACCACACCTCATAACACTGGTCAGGGCAGGTTGGTGAAGACGTGGAAGCATAGATGTACAGTACAATGGGTGTTGCTGCATTGCGATCTACTGCCCACCGCGGTAACCCTGCAGCATTGTTTATTATGATTACGTCTTAAAAATTAAATATTTTGCTTACGACTGACAATCATCTTGTGGTTGCTATGAAATTTTTCTCCATACGTAGTAAATACCTGTAATTTCTGTGTCACTTTGTTGACGTGTTATTTTTAACAAGGACTCTCGTGCGCGCGTACACGTGCGGTGTGTGGGCGAGTGGACCTGGTGACTCGATACCATTTTATTCATTTATTAAGCGACCGACACATTACAAATCACAAAGTATTCACGGCAGAATCTGGAATTTCCAGAACACTGTGGTATGCCATTCAACCACCCTCCCTGTACCCCCCCTCCCCCCGCCCAAATATTACGTATCACTTTGCAATGGGGGTCCCCACTGCACACACCAACCTGACTGCCTTGACACCAATGCAAGCTACTAAATGCAAGTCCCACATTTAATTTTCATACCGTATACTACAGAAACTCTCTCAATTGTCCCCCCCCCCAACCCTCCATCCAAACATCGAACCTATACACAACATTTCAAAAAATCCGGATTTTGTTTTGCTCCGGATTAACCTGAAAAAAATTACATCACTTTCGTGCTACTCCCCACCCGAACAAAAAGTAACATCACGTGGCACTATTGTGGGAAGGAAGATATTTTGAATTCATACACAATGTAATTTTTTTTTTTAAACAGCGCAAAGTGTCGTCACATACACCTTTCATATACTTCGTTCGCTCCGTTAGCCTAAAACGTAACGTTAATGTCATTTCCGCGAATGTTAAACAACGATTATTACGGGCGTAATTATTCTCCGCGCATCACGTTGGGTGTAAGAATCAATTTTAATTTGACGAATCGTCGCGTGCCCCTGGTCCGTGGCCAGCGATGCCACTGACCGGTCGGGTCTTCAGGCCGCGGCGGCCTCGCCCACTTGCGGATCTGACCGTTGGGGGGGGCCTTTCGATCGCCTGAGGCGGAATTTTTTTGTAACCGCCTGCATTTCGAACACGCAAACCTTCCAAAGCATCTGGCACAATGCCAACGAATACGATTTTTGGTGGTGGCGCCAATCCATTCTCAAAAGCCGCCACTCAGGCGCTGCTTCCTAAAACACGCTGAAAACCGCTGGGTTACAGGGAGCACCAAACTGCGTTAGCCTGCTGACACCAGCACTCTGGTGGCGCCTTCCACTGCCAGGGTTTACACTGAACAGTTACCGTCGTGAAAATCCACCGCCGTACGACAGCAACAGCAGCGCAATAATAAATCCCTCCGTGCCCGAAACTTCCCATGAGCATATGAAATCGAGGGAGTGGCTTAATTTCAGCTAGGGCCTGCGACCTGGCACACCACATCCAGTATACCACCCCCCCCCCCCCCCCGCTACGGCTGTGGCTACTACTTGTCACGCACGCGCAACGACGCGCTCCGGTCCTGCCAGCGGCCCGCGATACATTCGGCGAGAAATTCCTCCCTGGCAACGACGGCAGCGAGAGCGACGCCACGCATCACTCCGCTGGTGGCGGCGGCGCCGCCGCCCCCTCCGTGCTCACCGCGGGCTCCTGCGCGGGCGACCGCTGCACGTGCAGGGCGCCCGCCCGCTCGCGCAGCCGCTGCGCGTGCTGAAGGGCGAAGCGGAAGGCCTGCGGCGCGTCCGTGCCCACGCTCCCGCGCCAAACCCGCTTCAGGTCGTCAAGACGGCGTTCGGTGACCTCCAGCGCCTCCAGCGCCGCGCGCTGCTCCTCCAGCTCGGCCTGCAGCAGAGCCCTGCGGGGTGGGCGGGCGGGCAGGGTGGTGGATCGTTCAGAGCATCGGAGGGTAACGTCGGTTCGTCTACAAGACACCTTCACCGGTTGGCGATGACGCGCAGATCTGCCGGCCGTGCCGGTCTTCTTCCTCGCACCCATTCCTGTCCTGGGGCCCGTCCTTTTTTTTCTTTTTTTATTTACCTACCGAGTGAGAGCCTAGCGAGCCAATCGTGTCCAAATGCAGGAATGACATTTCACAACTTTTAATTATGGAGGGTGATGAACGGGGTGGAGGCATCGCCCCGGGTAAAGCGAAAGCACTTGCAGCGTGCGAGCGTCGCGTGCGTAGCGTGGGCGCGCAACGGGCAGCGCGTACTGGATGGCCATCTCCTGCCGGTGCCGGCTGCGCAGCTCGGCGAGCTTGGCGTTGAGCCGGCGCTCCTCGTCGGCGTCGTTGGCGAGCGGCGCGGCGTGAGGCCGGTCTTCGGGCAGCAGCACGCCGGGCGGCACCGTGAAGACGCGCTCTGCGATGTACAGCTCAATCAGCTCGAAGGTCATGTCCAGATGCGACTGTTGGCGAAGAGGAATGGGGATCGGTGAACCTACGCGTGTCCTCCTCTCTCTCACGCAATGCGAGGTCTTCTCCCCCAGGCGCTCCCGGCGGTTTTCCTCGCAAACCGGACGAAATCTTGCGGTTTCCTGCAGAAGCTCCCAAGCACGCGAAGCAAAACGTCGGACATCGTGCTAAACAACCCACGGCAGGCACATCGGAGCTGCTGAATAGCACAGCCACCCAAAATGTGCGCAGTGGTGTTTGTCGAATGCAAACGAAGTAAATCGAGTATGCGCGAACGTTTGTTATCCTGCACTGTTACGAGCCCAGTCCATCATGGACTGGGCTCGTAAGCTCCTCGGAATAACACAGTTTTTTCGCCCATTGTAAAAAGCTGGCTCGGAGACTCCCAAGGGGTGGGATGCTGAACATCCGCCTGTGGGCGACGCGCACCTTCATGTGGTCGATGAGCAGCTGGGTGCCTTGGCGGACCTTCTCCAAGGAGGAGGAGTGGCTCGATCTGCGCGCCACGTACTCCAGCACGCAGTCCTCTCCCGCCTTGAGCATGCTGTAGATGTACTCCTGCACCGCGTTGTACATGCCGTCCAGGCACGACTGCGGCGTGAAGCCAAAGTGCTGCGTCTCGTACATCATCAGATTGTCGTCCGACATCGCGACCGCGTCTGAGAGAGAGACACGCGGCGATCAGAAAGGGGGCGGGTAAGATTATTAACGATTTTCCAACAAACTCACATTCGTCAATACACACTATACACCACTTATACACTTTTTATGTTACCAGGTAAGGCCCACTGAGCTATATAGCTGTCTTGTAGAAGCGACGTGGCCACAAAAGATAGCTCAACGAAGTGGCTTACCACGTTGGAATTCAATACAGCCAAATACTCTAAACGCATGCTTATAAACGTGGATGGAAATATCGGAGAAAAATCCACGTGACCACGGGGAGAGAGAGCATGTAAACTCCAAATATACAACAGGCATCAGGGTCGGGATCGAACCCACAACCTTTGTGCATTTAGTGTCTGTCAATGCAGGGAGCTACACGCCTTTGAGAGCAACGCCACCTTTTTCCATTAATGTGTCATTAAAACCCGCAACAGCCAACTAGTAAGGGTTGTCACGTAAACAGAACGTGGCCAATTCCGTCACTAGTACAGCACACCGGTGTGTTGGAGAGCCAAACCACAACATTTACACTGCTGTCCTTAATTTCGGTTTTTGAGGTTAGATCGAGAAAATATAAATGCGTCGTTCAAAGTCACCACCACCTGGCACAGCCAATTAGTAAGGTTTGTCACGTAAACAAAAACATGCCAATTCGTTACTAGTTCAGCACAACGGTATGTTGGGAGAGTAAACCCACATTTACAATTCGAGTAACGAATCGGCACGTTTTATTTACGTGACAAACCTTACTACAGTAATTGGCTGTGTCGGGTGGTGGCGGGTTATATCTTACGTGATCGAACCCAAAAACCTCCATTGTGGATAATATTGGTCACGAACGCCCGACTACTAAGTGGTCAACTAATCCACCAGTGCAGAGTAAATGCCATCTCCTGGCCACTTAGCTCACGGCTACCACAATTCAGAACTGGAACAGACCAGGCGCATTCTTTAGCTGAGCTTTGGCGACTCTGCAAGTGTCACTTCACCCATCATCAACACCACTGTCCGTCTGTTCAACAATCCACTGTTACACAGTGATGCCATCTCCTGGCCACTTTGCTCACGACTACCACAATTAGGTACTGGAACAGACCAGGCTTATTCTTTAGCTGAGCTTTGGCGACTCTGCAAGTGTAACTTCACCATCACCAACACCACTGTCCGTCTGTTCAACAATCCACTGTTGCACAGTGATGCCATCTCCTGGCCACTTAGCTCACGACTACCACAATTAGGTACTGGTACCAGGCGCATTCTTAGCTGAGCTGACTCTGCAAATGCCACATTACCCCCCCTCCCCCCTTGTTCTGAAGAAGGGCCGTTGCCAGAAACGTCAGCAAGTCATACTTCATTTTAGCTTATAAGGCGACTTTGGTTACACATAACAGAAGCATGGAACGAGTGTATGTACTACATACAGTACGTTGAACTTCTTTCGCACCGTACGTAGCCAAGCGCGCGAATCGGGAGTCGCGGGCGGGGGCGCCAACAAACTAAACACACAAAAAAGCAGCTTTAAAAAAATGAGTTTGTACAATTTGGATTTAAAAGTGCGTAGCTCTCGTGGCGTCCTAATATCAGAAGGAGTGAACGATGAATCGATGCCCCGACTCGGCAAAAATACTGAGGCGTAGATGCACCACCACCACCACTCATTTGACTCATCAAACTCCCCGATGTTAAAGCTGCGGCTGTTACTTGACAGCTAACAGAACGAAGAAGTAGACGTTTAAGGGCGGGGGGGAGGGCTGGCGAAGATTTAGCGATATTATTAAAACCTGGCGCGCTGTGTTTCTACACACAAGAGTTTTACGAGAAGTATCCCCCCCCCCCCCTCATCGCGCACCTCAACAACAAGGGAATCAAAGGTGCGTCTTTACAATCCGGAGAATTCGGCGAGCGCAAAGTGTGCATACAGCATAGGGTGAAGGGATATCTGGCACGGGTAAACGTGGCTTAAGCTCACCCAAAGCAGGGTGGGGACGCCCGTAACGCATCGGTTAATCCGATGCAGAGTAAAATCGCCTCAGTTTAACCGATAACTTGCCTACGCTGTGCTTTGCTGTACGAGAGGGTGGCCCAGCTGCAAGTCATATTCTTAGCTCTTTCGGTAAAGTCACGTTGAAGGGAAACAATAATAAAATATATATAAAACAATAAAAATTCTCACGACGTTTCGACCATAACCACGAACGGTCGTCATGGTCGAAACGTCGTGAGAATTTTTATTGTTTTATATATTTTTTTTATTATTTTATTGTTTCCCTTCAACGTGACTTTACCGAAAGAGCTAAGAATATGAATTACTGCAGTCACGAAAGCTTTAAATAAAAATGCAGCTGCAAGTCGTTGAGGATTCAACTCACTTGGTGTCGCGCGCCGAACTTGCGGCCTGCCGAGTCGTCGGTAACTTTGTTTCTTTTTCCCGCCAAATTTTTACGATGTAATTAAATAATTAAAGCCGTGTGATTTCTTTCCCGCCAAATTTAACGATGTAGTTATATAATTAAATAACCGCGAGGTCCGCTTGACCTTACGGAAAGCCGGCGGGGTCAAGTGATCCCAAACCGCCGTTATAAACGAAACGCGTTTTTAAAAAGCAGTCGATAGACCGTAGCTGACGATGGTCGGACGCTTGGGGGCGTTGTTGAGTACACAAATTCTGTCAACGCATTGAAGGCGATGATGTAAAAAAAAACGTCAGTGGGACGTCAGCCCTCCCCTTCCAGCTGTGACCGCACAACTTGTGACTATTTATTTTGTGTTTTAGTTAAAGCCGGATGGAGAGCTTATTTGTTTCGTTTCTTGACAACGACGACGGCAACAACACGAGCGCTTCGGTTTTAATGTTTAATCTTGATTTCATTGGTAAATAAAAAAAAACACAAAGAAAACTTCCGGGCCCATCCTTGCCGCGGTCTTTACTCTCGGCGACTGCGATGCTCTCGGAGGACACCAAAGAGGCGGGTACGTGAGGGGTCTCACGCCCGGGGTCTCACGCAAGACAAAGGGGTCCCTTTCGTGCCTTTGTCCATCACTCCCCAGAGTCTCACGCAAGCCCGGGGTCTCAAGCCCGGGGTCTCATGCCAAGGGCCCGGGGTCTCACGCCCAGGGCCCAGGGTCTCACGCCCGGGGTCTCACGCCCGAGGTCTCAGGCCAGAGATTCGCCCCTTTAGTCTCGCAGTCTCAGGCCGCCGAGGTTTCACGCTTTGTAAGTTCTCACGCTCAAGGCGTGAGATCACGCCAGATGAGACTGTTCTTCGAGCAGTCTCTTGAGTCGGGGGACACCGCTGTGGCACGGAGATGTTAACTACCTCGCCTGGTGTGCAGGAGGTCGTGGGTTCAATCCAGACCATGACACCTGCTGTATATTTGGAGTTTGCGTGTCTCTCACCATCATCACGGTGGGTAGGAGATGTTGACTGCCTCGCCTGGTGTACAGGAGGTCGTGGGTTCAATCCAGACCATGACACCTGCTGTATATTTGGAGTTTGCGTGTCTCTCACCATCATCACGGTGGGTAGGAGATGTTGACTGCCTCGCCTGGTGTACAGGAGGTCGTGGGTTCAACCCTGACCCTGACACCTGCTGTATATTTGGAGTTGGCGTGGCTCTCATCATCACGGTGACTAGGAGATGTTAACTACCTCGCCTGGTGTACAGGAGGTCGTGGGTTCAACCCTGACCCTGACACCTGCTGCTGTGTATTTGGAGTTTGCGTCTCTCTCTCACCATCATCACGGTGGCTAGGAGATGTTAACTACCTCGCCTGGTGTACAGGAGGTCGTGGGTTCAATCCAGACCCTAACACCTGCTGTATATTTGGAGTTTGCGTGTCTCTCACCATCCACACGGTGGCTATGAGATGTTAACTACCTCGCCTGGTGTGCAGGAGGTCGTGGGTTCAATCCAGACCCTAACACCTGCTGTGTATTTGGAGTTTGCGTGTCTCTCACCATCACCACGGTGGCTATGAGATGTTAACTACCTCGCCTGGTGTGCAGGAGGTCGTGGGTTCAATCCAGACCCTAACACCTGCTGTGTATTTGGAGTTTGCGTGTCTCTCACCATCACCACGGTGGCTAGGAGATGTTAACTACCTCGCCTGGTGTGCAGGAGGTCGTGGGTTCAATCCAGACCCTGACACCTGCTGTTTATTTGGAGTCTGCGTGTCTCTCTCATAATCATCACGATGGCTAGGAGATGTTAACTACCTCGCCTGGTATACAAGATGTCGTGGGTTCAACCCTGACCCTGACACCTGCTGCTGTATATTTGGAGTCTGCGTGTCTCTCTCATAATCATCACGATGGCTAGGAGATGTTAACTACCTCGCCTGGTATACAAGATGTCGTGGGTTCAACCCTGACCCTCACACCTGCTGCTGTATATTTGGAGTCTGCGTGTCTCTCTCATAATCATCACGATGGCTAGGAGATGTTAACTACCTCGCCTGGTGTACAGGAGGTCGTGGGTTCAATCTCGACCCTGACACCTGCTGTGTATTTGGAATTTGCGTGTCTCTCATCATCACCACGGTGGCTAGGAGATGTTAACTACCTCGCCTGGTGTGCAGGAGGTCGTGGGTTCAATCCAGACCCTAACACCTGCTGTGTATTTGGAGTTTGCGTGTCTCTCACCATCACCACGGTGGCTAGGAGATGTTAACTACCTCGCCTGGTGTGCAGGAGGTCGTGGGTTCAATCCAGACCCTGACACCTGCTGTTTATTTGGAGTCTGCGTGTCTCTCTCATAATCATCACGATGGCTAGGAGATGTTAACTACCTCGCCTGGTATACAAGATGTCGTGGGTTCAACCCTGACCCTGACACCTTCTGCTGTATATTTGGAGTCTGCGTGTCTCTCTCATAATCATCACGATGGCTAGGAGATGTTAACTACCTCGCCTGGTATACAAGATGTCGTGGGTTCAACCCTGACCCTGACACCTGCTGCTGTATATTTGGAGTCTGCGTGTCTCTCTCATAATCATCACGATGGCTAGGAGATGTTAACTACCTCGCCTGGTGTACAAGAGGTCGTGGGTTCAATCTCGACCCTGACACCTGCTGTGTATTTGGAATTTGCGTGTCTCTCATCATCACCACGGTGGCTAGGAGATGTTAACTACCTCGCCTGGTGTGCAGGAGGTCGTGGGTTCAATCCAGACCCTGACACCTGCTGTGTATTTGGAGTTTGCGTCTCTCTCACCATCACCACGATGGCTAGGAGATGTTAACTACCTCGCCTGGTGTACAGGAGGTCGTGGGTTCAATCCTGACCCTGACACCTGCTGTATATTTGGAGTTGGCGTGTCTCTCTCTCTCATCATCATCACGGTGGCTATGAGATGTTAACTGCCTCGCCTGGTGTACAGGATATCGTGGGTTCAATCTCGACCCTGACACCTGCTGTGTATTTGGAGTCTGCGTGTCTCTCTCTCATCATCACGGTGGCTAGGAGATGTTAACTGCCTCGCCTGGTGTACAGGAGGTCGTGGGTTCGATCCAGACTCTGAAAATGCCTGCTGCTGATGTATATTTGGAGTCTGCGTGTCTCTCTCTCATCATCACGGTGGCTAGGAGATGTTAACTACCTCGCCTGGTATACAGAATGTCGTGGGTTCAATCCAGACCCTGACACCTGTATATTTGGAGTCTGCGTGTCTCTCTCTCTTTCATCATCATCACGATGGCTAGATGTTAACTACCTCGCCTAGTGTACAGGATGTCGTGGGTTCAATCCAGACCCTGACACCTGCTGTATGTTTGGAGTTGGCGTGTCTCTCATCATCATCATCATCACGGTGGCTAGGAGATGTTAACTACCTCGTCTGGTATACAGGAGGTCGTGGGATCAATCCAGACCCTGACACCTGCTGTGTATTTGGAGTTTGCGTGTCTCTCTCTCATCATCACGGTGGCTAGGAGATGTTAACTACCTCGCCTGGTGTACAGGAGGTCGTGGGTTCGATCCTGACCCTGACACCTGCTGTGTATTTGGAGTTTGCGTGTCTCTCATCATCACGGTGGCTAGGAGATGTTAACTACCTCGCGTGGTGTACAGGAGGTCGTGGGTTCAATCCAGACCCTGACACCTGCTGTGTATTTGGAGTTTGCGTGTCTCTCTCTCCCCGTGGTGGTCACGTGGATTTATTCAACGGGACCTCCCGTTCTTTCCCCTCCACATTTAGAGAATCAACATCACGCGTTTGGAATATTTGTCAGCTGTAAATTGCCACGCGATGATAAGTCACTTAGTTTACAGAGTACAGTACTTGCCAGCTATACATTTCTACGTGATGAAAAGCGTACCTGGTTTAGAATATTTGTCAGCTTATAAATTTCTACGCGATGACGACGACGATGATGGATAAGCCCACTTTCGTACAGCGGCTATCATTAGCGAAAAAAAAAGAGATCTACTATATATAGGCAGCTCGGTGGGCCCATAAAACCTGGATAAAGTGCAACATGTTGTTGGTTTAAAGTGTCCTCAACGTGGCATCTCAATGTGTGAGTCTCTCAACGCCTCTGCTGGTTCTGTCACCCGCGGGTTCGGGGCCACCTTTTCCCCTTGGCCGCTCAGGCAATAGCGCAGGGTTCGCGTGCACGTGCAGGCCGCGTTGGGTTAACGATCGCCGGTTATAATTTTAAGTTAGGCGGTCAGTGTTTGTTTATTTGTTTTCCTAAAGCGTTAAATTGTTACGTTACGACTGTCGCGTCGATGATCAAATGTGGTTCTAACATGTTGCGTGACATTTTTTTGTGGTGGGTGTGGGGGGGGAGATATCAGTGTGAATTTGCGGGCTGCGCCAAGTTTCGCTGTTTTGTGAGCACGGTGTATCTGCTTAACAGAATATTACACATTTTAAATGTTAAATGGACCAAATATTATGAAAGGCATTCAACAGTACATGTCATCTGCACTTTATCGTACGTCAACAGTGGTTGTGCCAAGGTACGATCGACTGCGGACAAAGAAACGTGGAATTTCCACCACTGTGTACAGGGCTGGCAAACGAGATATGAATTTCAGTTTCACACGTAGGCTTTCGTTTTCATTATTGCATTTTCGTTTGCACAGAAATCCACTTTGATGCTTTAACCGTAAACATTTTGGTTAATTCCTTTTGTTCTTAAGTGGACCCGGGGGAATCATTATTATTTATTAACACTTTTGACCATTTGCTTAAGACTATAAATGCAATACAGTAACTGCAAGTGACGGCACTTAATGTTTTTTTTTGCATAATCGGCTAAACAATGACGTTTATTGTTTACCCACATAGAATGAGGTGGAGGATACAGCCCTAGAATGTTCTTTTTAATGTGACTGGTGAACTTGCTGACGTGTCTTCTTTCGGTCACGTGGGCAGCACGTCACTGACCCTCAACGAGTGAGGAGCAGCTCGTAATTGAAAACGGCGCGCTGTGCGAAATCAAAATATATAGTTACGCGCGAAAGTGACCTGGCCAACGTCTGGGGGCGGCATCGTCGACTGTGGTCCGTTCCATACTCTTTGGTTGTATTCGGTAAAGTCACGTAGGTAAAAAATAAAACAGCAAAAATCACGACGTTTCGGCCACAACACAAGCAGCCTTCTTCAGGTGAAGGAACAGAACTGTCGGGACGACAGGGCTTCAGCGTTCATTGAAGCTCTGTCGTCCCGACAGTTCTGTTCCTTCACCTGAAGAAGGCTGCCTTGTGTTGTGGCCGAAACGTCGTGATTTTTCCCGTTTTATTTTTTTACCTACGTGACTTTTACCGAATAGAACCAACGAGTACGGATCCTTGCCAGTCACGAAAGCTTCAAATCTAGAATTGTGGTCCGTTTCCCTTGCACACTTTCAGCGACGGTGGGCGGCATCGGCAAAGCGGAGATGGAGAGGACGGACCGCGAGGCGCTGGAGACGGCGGTGCAACGCGTCGCCAGCATGCTGCAGCGACCCGACCAGCTGGACAAGGCGGAGCAGTACCGGCGGCGAGAGGCGCGCAAGAAGGCGTCCGTGGAGGCCCGTCTCAAGGTGCGGTCGCTGTACATGCAGGGAGGGGTGGTTGAACCTTTTCCTTTCCGAGGCCCGAATCTTGATCATCATCATCATCATCGTCATAAGCCGTGATCGAGCACACCCCCTCGGATTACGTGAAGAAGGGATCAAAGGCACGTCTTAAAAGGGCCGACTAGGACTTTCAACACCCCGGATCGTTTGTGCCTCTTTTTCCATTGCGCAACAGGGCCACGCGACTGACGTCACACGCGATAAATGATGAGTCGGTGTCCAGACATTGTGCTGACGTCACATTCGATTGATGTGTCGAGATATTAAATTATGATTATGATTTACATTTGTAAGGCGCGTTTCATCCGTAGATCCCAATTCGCCGAGATTCATGTAGATGACGCAGTGACGTGTTCTCGTCACGTGCAATCAGCATGTCATTAGCCCCCGCCCCTGGCCTTGCCTGGCCCTGCCTGGCCCTGCCTGGCCCTGCGCCTGATTCCATTGTCTTGCGAGGCCTGCGTATCACCGTTTGCTTCTGGCTCAACAGCAAAAATAGCCAACAGAAAAAGAAAAACACCTATACTGTGATGTCCTAAGCCGATCCCGGCCCGGGTGGATGTGGTCGGCGTCCGCCATACCCCGTCCGGCGCAGGCAGCGATCCAGTCGCAGCTGGACGGCGTACGCACCGGGCTGTCGCAGCTGCACACGGCGCTGAGCGACTCGTGCGAGGTGCGCGGGTCGCTCGCCGACGTCGGCCGCGACTGGCAGAGCAGCATCGCCGCCATCGAGGGCCTGCGCGACGTCAAGGACGCCGTGGTGCAGCACAGCCAGCTGGCGGCCGCTGTCGAGAACCTCAAGAACATCTTCTCGGGTGAGCGGCGGTAGCGGCGGTAGCGGCAGGTGCGTCGGGGGTCCCCACCCACTCCCCCATCGTTTTGTTTGCGGCAAACAGGGTTCTGGGAAAGGTTTTTCTACAATCGTTATTTCTGTTTGCGGTATGCAGAAATGGGCCGTATCTTTAGGATAGAAATTAAATTAGGCTGATTCAACAGCTATTACTGGGGATAGCAATGATATGAAATATTAGGATTAGGGATGGTAGAGAAAGAAATCTTAAGAAAGCCTGAAGGTACAAATTGAATAGCCTGTAATATTTTTCGTCAGTGCAATTCATATCATGCTCTTTGGTTTTATTCGGTAAAGTCGCGTAGGTAAAACGAATTAAAATGAAATAAACAATTAAAACACGACGTTTCGGAGGCAACGCAAGCTTCAGTCTTCAGGTGGGACCAGTCACAGCCAAAATCGCTGCACCAAGTGGCGAGGCTCTGGGAACCTAGCGCTTAAATACAGGTTAAGGTGGGGGGGGGGTGTGGGAGGGGCCATGTGGGGGGACTTTAGTGGGGTGCGGAGGGGGGATGGGTCGTTGTGTGTGTGCAGGGATGAGTTAATCCGTCTTTTGTTGTGTGGAGGGTGCGGGAGATGGGTCACTGTGTGTGTGCAATATAAACGGAGTTCATCCTTCTTTTTGTTGTGTAGAGGGAGCGGGGGATGGGTCGTTGTGTGTGTGCAGGGATGAGTTAATCCGTCTTTTGTTGTGTGGAGGGTGCGGGAGATGGGTCACTGTGTGTGTGCAATATAAACGGACAGAATATCGGCCAGGATGTGCTGTAAGGGAGCAGTAGAAAAAAGGAAAGTAGTGCAGCGATTTTGGCTGTGACTGGTCCCACCTGAAGACGGAAGCTTGCGTTGCCTCCGAAACGTCGTGTTTTAATTGTTTATTTTATTTGAATTCGTTTTACCTACGTGACTTTACCGAATAAAACCAAAGAGTATGAATCCTTGCAGTCACGAAAGCTTCAAATCTAGAAGAAGCAATTCATATTATTTACATAGCCATAAAAAAACTGTTAAATCCCATCTGGATTTGTTACATTTAAAACGTTTTATAATATTCTTTCAAAAATATTCTTTGTACTTAAAATGTCTTGATGGGTTTATTTAAAAATACAGGTTCATGAATTGGGCGCACTGCATGCGATTCCCACTCACAGTGGCGGATGTCTGAACCAGCTCAGGGCCTCCCTCCCCTAGGTCGACTCAGCCTGGTTGCTGTGTGTGAACATTCAGCACTGGGGAGGCAAAGGTGGCCGGGCGTAGCGCTGACCACGCACCCCCTCGTGCGCTGTCGCCGGCCTTCATCGTAGCTTGTTAGCAGCGCTTGCACCCGACGATCTGTCGACGGCTTATACGGGGGAGGGGATATTTGCGGCTTTAGTTGACACGCGCACGTTACGTACGTTGTACCCCCCGCGCCCGTCTCAGTGCCGGAGATCGTGCGCAACACGCACTCGCTGATCGAGCAGGGCCAGCTGCTGGAAGCGCACACGGCGCTGATGGAGCTCGAGAGCTCGCGCGACGAGCTCCTCTATGAGCAGTACCGCATGGACCCACGCAACACGGCCGACATGAGCCTCATCAAGGCCTACTTTTCCGCCACCAGTGAGCTGTCGCACGCCCTCGCAAAGCAGCTGTGGCTCGTGCTGGAGAGGGCGCTCTCCACCGTGCGCAGGTACAGCCTCATCCACGTCCTTCCTGGCATTTCCCCCCCCAATCTTTCCTGATGATGATTATTTTCTTCGATAAACACGGTTGGCTACATACGGTGCGAAAGAAGTTCAGCATCCATACATACGTAAAGCTTGTTCACCCAGAAAAGCCTCGGTGAGTCTCAAGGCAACTTTTTTTTTTCTGGAGGGTCCTGCCAAGTCCTTTTTTGAGTTGGGGTTAAGGTTCATTCGTATAATCCCAATTGAGTCATTGGGACCCTCTTGCAGCTACTTGTATCCGCCACTGCTGGTGGAATGGGGAGCTCTTAGAGCGCCTCTGCAGGGTGTTTATTATCTTAATTTATGTAGCGCCTTAATCAAGGTGCTTTACACAGAATTAACGGTACAACTTGTGTGAATGTAACGGTGGAGATGACGTGAATGAAGTGGACGAGAGGAAACAATGGGCAAATCTGTAATTGCGTGAATTCGATGAAAGCAAAATTGATGACAGTAAATGATGATGAATGGATTCAATGAATGGGGATTGAGTGATAGCCATGTAATGAGACTGTGAAGAGGGAAGAATAATGGCGGTGGTGGTTATGAGGGAGAGATTAAGGGGGGTCGTGGGGTGAGCTAGGGAATAATAGCTTTAAGTGAGGAGCTCGGAGAACCGTCAGCCGTGGAACGACTCCACCAATGGCGGCTTCTGTACCCTCTCGCTCTGAAACCGAGCAGAGACCCCTCCTTGCTGGTGTCGGTGCTGCGCATCATCGAGCGCGAGGAGAAGCTGGATCAACGCTCCCTCGACAGGGAGAAGCAGTCCAGCTTCCTGCCTCCGGGACGCCCCAAGGTAATGGAGCGTGTGTAACGGTGGACCCTGCGTTTTTACGCGGGCAGATTATCCGTATTGTGGATTCAACCGTTGCCCTTTTACACGCTCGCTGGTTCTGTCGTTAGCTGCTGCTCACTCTCCAAGGTTTGTTCATGATCTAGCTGGAAGGATAAGTTAAGTTGCTTCATCGGCTAAGTAAAAAATATATATTTGTAGTTAGTTATTCAACATCCTGCCTCCCAAAGGCAGGAAACCCATTAAAAGCCACGCCCAATGTGATGTGGCTAATTATGTTGATGATTTCACTGAGCCCCATCCAGCGCCACACTTATTTAATCGCGAATTAAAAATGTTTGAGGAGACGCATGTGCGCAAACACACACACACACGCACGCACGTGCACGTTGGAAAGCGTTACAGAATCCACGCGCGTGACCTCTCTCCCTCGTTTTACACACGCACACACAAACACGTCGTCGTCATCGCCGTCGTCATCCAATCTCGCCAGGCGTGGAGGAAGAAGTGCATGGACGTGATGGAGAGCACGGCGCGCACGCGCATCGAGGCCAACCAGCCGGACGAGCGTGGCTCCGACCGCATGTGGCTGGTGCGCCACCTGGAGATCTCGCGGCAGTACGTGCTGGAGGACCTGACCGTGGCACGCCACATGCTCGCCTGCTGCTTCCCACCCAGCTACGAGGTGCCGCCGGCGCCGACCTTTGACCCCGCGCGCAACACGCACGCACGCACGCACGCACGCACGCCCCAGCCCGGGTTGAAACAACGCTTTGGGTTTCATGTTGATTTTGTTGAACCGGCTGAGAACTCGGGGAGGAACGTCCCAGGGAACGCTGACCATCGAACTCTTGGCTCGCCATCGAACAAACGCGGCCACCGCGTCACGTGCTTCGAGATGCGCTTCTGCAGGCCGTCTGGAACGCTCTTCCTTCTAATATTAGGAAGCCACTGGAGCTATGCACTTTTACATCATCTAGATTGAAAACTCATTGTTTTAGGACTGCTTTTTGTGCGTAGCTTGTTGTCTTTCCCCCACACCTCCGATTAACACGGTTGGCTACGTACGGTGCGAAAAACGTTCAACATGCATACATGGCCAAACGTCGCGTGTCTGCCCCCAACGAATAACCACCCCTTGGCACAGCGCAGTGTTTGTGCGGTTTGTTTTTTTGGGTGGCAGCGGTAACGCTCGTGCCTTCACGGCAAGAAGTTACCTGGGTTCGATTCCCGACACGGGCACTCCCTCCTCTGCGTGGAGTTTGTGTGTTCTACTATCCCCCGTTCTGCATGGCTTTCCTCCAGGTGCTCCAGTTTCCTCCCAAGGCTACGAAGAAAACAAAACATTACCTTGTAACTGTTGTTGCAACGTACCTACGTTGAACTTTCGCACCCTACATAGCCGGCCGTGCTAATCAGGGGTACGGGGGGAAGAACAACAAACTAAACACAACACGTAGCAACATCACCCGCGACCGTGAAAACGTGGCAGGACCCAAATGCAAGAGAGTATTGAGACTTGGCGAGGCTTTCCTGAGTATACAAGCAAAGATTATAAATGGAGGCACCCTTATTCATTTCCTAACTTTCTTTCAGGTTAGGCCTTTCTGGCTTTATCCGCAAATTCTGGCTTACTCGAGGCTTAACTGAGACGTATAATTGTGTGACGCTGGCAGGTGTTCAACTTGTACCTGAGGCTGTACCACAGTGCGCTATCCACACACCTGCAAGAGATGGTGTCGGACGAGCTGGAGGGGAATGAGATTGTGTCTCTCCTCACCTGGGTGCTCAACACCTATCCCAGGTGACGCACGACAACCACCGTTCGCCGCTCGGTGGCGGTGACGTCACCACGGCGCTTGTGCCAGGCTAAGTGCACGTGAAAAATATATAACCGCGTGAAAAATGTGGAACGAGAACATAGGTTGAAGGTGAAGCACGGATACGCACACACACACACTGGACGCAAGTGTAAACAACGACAAAGGTCCCCCATATATAGCCTGTTGGTGCAGGTGCTGTTAGCGAGCACCTGTAAAGACTTGCACCGTACATCACGAGGGATGGGTGGCCCAGAATCACGCCCGCTCGCCTTTGTCTCCAGTTCTGATGGTTACACGCCGCACCAGGAACTCATTTGAGGCTGATTCGACTGTCACCAGTTTTGTAGCGCAGCACGCTAACCGCTGGGAGAGATGGCGACGGTTTGGGGGGAGACGCCTTCACCGGCGAGTGGATTGGTCAGAGCTGACGATGACGACGATGATGGTGGTAGTTATTGACGATGAATAACATGTCCATGGAGAGGAGCAGTGGCGCAGTGGTTAGCACTGCGCGTTAAGCATGCATCGAAAATAATCGATTCTCACACGCTCACGATGCAATGCATGCATGCATCGTGAGCATAGGAATCGATTTAAATTGATGAATGGATGCATCGTTACAACCCCCACCCCCGGTAAGATGCCGGGTGGATGTAGGGCAGTGCAAGCCACACCAACACACGTGTGTGCATCCACGCGTGCTTGTGCGCGTGTGCCCATGTCATCGCTGTGACCGACAGTGAGGAGCTCATGGCCCACCCTGACCTGGCTGAGGAGGTGGACTTGAAGGCCCTCGGTCCCTTGCTCTCCAACGACACGATCAACCAGCTGCTGAGCAAGTACATCACCACCATGAAGGTGTGAACTTTTGACCCTCTCCGTGGACGTGAACCTTGCGTTAAGGTGGCCGGTTCGCCCGGCGGACAAAGCGCTGAGCTGGCACCGCCGCTGAGATCCGGGGTTCGAATCCCGGCAGCTGTCTGTGATTTAAACAGGTCGGTTCATTGTTGCACTGTTCAAATTCCCGTGCCTACGCCTGCCGCCTTCACCAACCTGCAGTGACCAGCGTGGTGAAGTATGGTCAAATACCTCGCCATGACCCACCCGGCATGGGGAGGGCTCTACATAGGCGCATACACATTTTCATCGCAAGCTTAGGTGATGTCCGACGTTCAGCTGTACGTGCCTGGAGAATTATTAATTAACAGCCTGTTGGATTAAATGACAGAGGTGAAAATCTACACAAATTCTTTGGTTCTTTCGGTAAAGTCACGTATGTGAAAAAAGAAAGATGTTCTTGCTGTGGTTGTCACACCTGATGATGATTGCTTGTGTTGCAATCGAAACGTCGTGATTTATTTATGTATATATTTTTTTAAAAAATTCATTTTATTTTTTTCACTTACGTGACTTTACCGAAAGAACCAAAGAGTATGGATCCTTGCAGTCACGAAAACTTCAAATCTAGAATGAAAAATCTACACAACCCCAAAGCAGAGTTGTATGCACAGTCAGGACTTGTGTATGATTTTTAAGCCTCTTGATTGTCTTGATGGGTCTGTGTTGAGGCCTGAATACATTCCTGCTGAGGGAGCTGGTAGGAACGTTGGGTTGCTCGGTCAATGGCCAGGGTCAACAGCGGCACCACCACGTGGTGTATTCCGCAAATACGCCCGACTGTGAGGGCGGGCAAAAGCCGGCGTGAGTAGGTGAAACGTTGAGTTTTATAAGGGCACCACGGGGTGACCAGCCCCTCCCCACCCAGCCCCACCCCTCCCACCCCCCACCCAGCCCCACCCAGCCCCTCCCCACCCTCCCCACCCCACCCTCTCCACCCTTCCCTCCCCACCCTCCCCTCTCCACCCAGCCCCACCCCTCCCATTTTTGGATGCACGACAGACGGACGGACACAATAATCCCCTGTGGGCTGGTGGTGTAACCAGGAGGTTCCTACCAGTATTATAGTAACTTGTTTTGTTCTGTTACCCTCTCTGTCACCCCTCCACTCCCTCCCTCCACTTCCTCCACTTCCTCCCTCCCCTGCAGTCGAACATCGTTGGGTGGCTCAGGAAGGCACTTGAGACAGATTCAAAGGACTGGTCCAAGGAACAGGAGCCCGAGGCCGACCATGACGGGTTCTTCCAGACAACGCTGCCCTCCATCGTTTTCCAGGTGCCCCCTTTCAGCGGCTTTTAGGATACTAAGTCATGGGGCCCCCCCCGGCGAGTCATTGGGTCGCACCACGTGTCTGTGAAAAAGAGAGCTTCATTAGCTCATGGGACTCCTCCAGTGCAAATAAATGTTCTGATCTTGTCGTTCGTCACGACGTTCCCACGGTTTCGCTCCACGTGCCGGGGAGCTTCCACATCGGCATCGGGGATACGGAGACGGCCGAGCGTGGTGCTAGCCATCCAGCTCGCTCGTATGCTGTGCAGGCCTTCATACGTGCCTCACAGTAACGGCACTTGCCCCAACAGTCTGTTAAAGGTCTACTGCGGATCTTTGTCTACGGATGCACGCCCACCGCGAATACAGGGGTGCCCTCTTAAGTTACGCGGCCAAGTGTCTGTGTCCGGCACGAAACGACAGCGTGCGAAGCAGTGTTGCGTTTCCACGCTGCGCGGAAAGCTACGCGCGGACTAGTCCCTGTTTGGTACTGTACTGTGCAACAGCAGCCCACAGCGCTGGATTGTGCATTTCACAATTGGCTTGTGAATTTCGTTGGTTTCGCTTGTTCACGTATTTTTTTTTTCCCCTTGTATCTGGCTTTTTATATGTTTTCACGAGACAACAAGTGATAGGTTTGCTTGCTGGCATGTTTGCGGGTCACGCGAACACTTGAGTCACGAGTTGAGCGGTTCATTATCAAGCCGTGCGTGTTTAGCAGCAGTCGAGTGGCAAGCGCACTGCGCCGATTCCCGCTCCTGACCAATAACAGCGGCAAATATTTGACCCGGTACTGGGGCACAACCCGATAGACTCACCCTTACATGAGTACCTGGTGCAGTATCTAAAAACATCTCCACTGGGGAGACAAAAGCGGCCAGGCGTGGTGCTGGCCACCCACCCCCTTTGCGTGCCGTGCCGGCCTTCATAGGCGTCACTCGCTAACAGCACTCGCATTCACGTTCCGTTGAAGGCTACACGGGGAGGTGGATCTTTTCCTTTTGCGTATTTTTGTTTACTTATCTCTCTGCGGGGTCGGTGCTTACCGGTCGTCCGGAATGATCCGCCGACATTACGCTCTTCCGCGGCGGGCCCCTTTTGTTCCCCAGATGATGGAGCAGAACTTGCAGGTGGCCACGCAGATCAACGAGGATCTCAAAATCAAGGTCCTGCAGCTGTGCCTCCAGGAAATGAACACCTTCCTGCGCCGGTGACTGCCCTACACAATGGAGCGCCCGGCTCTGCCCGCCAGCGCCGTTGTTTGGTTTCCCCCCCCACCCCACCCCATCCCCATCCCCTCCTCCTGATTACTCGCGGAGAAGGAGGGGGGGGGACGAGCGGCGACTCGATGGTGCAGGGGCGTTCCGTCGCAGGGCACGCACGAGGGCACGCGTGTTGCGTTGGGTGTGACCTGATCGTGCGGGGAGCGGTGGTGCAGCGGTTGGCGCGCTTCGCTCCGAACCAGAACCTTGAGTTCAAGAGATAGAAAAAGGCCCTCGACGGTAAGCGCCCCCTCGAGGCGTGATTCTTGAACACTGGGCATCGGTGGGAAAATGAAAGAAAACTCCGCAGCCCATTGGATTTCTGCAGGATGAATAAGCATTCCGATCCCGCTTCGCTCACAGCGGACGTTGCAGATCCCTCCTCCTTTGGTTCTTTCGGTAAAGTCACGTAGAATGAGAATAAAATAATAAATTGATAAAATAAAATAACAATAAAATTCTCACGACGTTTTGGCCACAACACAAGCGGCCTTCATCAGGTGAAGGGACGAGACTGTCTGGTAGGACAGCGCTGGAGTAAAAGAGCCACGTTCAGATCACGGACAGCGCTGTCCTACCAGACAGTCTCGTCCCTTCACCTGATGAAGGCCGCTTGTGTTGTGGCCGAAACGTCATGAGAATATTATTGTGTTATTTTATTTTATCAATTTATTATTTTATTCTCATTCTACGTGACTTTACCGAAAGAACCAAAGAAGATGAATCATGGCAGTCACGAAAGCTTTAAATCGAAATTTAAAAGTTGCAGATCCCGTGACGTCGTTTTGGAACGGAGAGAGAGCACGCGCGCGCGCCGGCGTCGCCGTCCCAACTTGCCAAGATTTTTAAAATTTCCCCGCGGGGAAAAACGTGTGCCGATAGGTTTGACGCACGGCAACGGGCAACATCGTCGTCCCCTGCTGCTGAAACTCCTTCAGACGGCAGGCTGCGTGGAACGTAGGCGCCCATTGCTTTCCGATAGCCCTAGCTGCTACAAGAGCGATGGCTGGCGTGAAGAACTCGTGTGCTGAACTATCGCTGTACGTTTTTTGTTGATGCATCGCAAGGTATTGGCTCACGATGAGGCTGATCGCCGGCGGGGGGTGTGGCGTGGGTGTGGCGTGGGTGTGACGTGGGTGTGGCGTGGGTGTGGAGTGGGTGTGGAGTGGGTGTGGAGTGGGTGTGGCGTGGATGTGACGTGGGTGTGACGTGGGTGTGACGTGGGTGTGGAGTGGGTGTGACGTGGGTGTGGCGTGGGTGTGACGTGGGTGTGGCGTGGGTGTGGCGTGGGTGTACAGGGGGGTCCCCAATATGCGTCGGGGTGAGGGACCGGAAAGTTGCAACTTATAGCGAAACGACGCGTAACGGAGAATTCCTTTACCCCATTAAGAGTAACGGGGAATGGTGGGAGGGGGTGGGGGGGATAGGAAGCTTCAGAGCATGAACATGGCCTGTGCGACGCAAGATGGGGCGATCTCTTCCGTAAGAAACAATGGAATAAAGCCGAGCTGGGGGCCGGAAGCGGGGGGAATTTCACGTCAGCGGTGCGAGTGCGAAACAACGTATTTCGAAGCGACGTATATCGGGGGACCCCCCCCCCCCCCTCACCGTTACCCGTGTCCAGGTACCACGATGCGATTTTGGGGTACAGAGGAGAGCACCTGAAGGACCGGAACAAGCCTCCCTTCTTCGTGCACTACATGATCGCCCTCGTCAACAACTGCCAGACGTTCAAGTGAGCTCCGCTCCCCTCCCCACCGCCGCCGCCGCCGCCGCCAAATTTTTAACTTTTAACGGATGTGTATTTTGTTCCAGACGAAAACGGCCGTGCCGAAGCGAGCCTAGCCGCTTGCACTTTAACCCTCTTGGGGAATTGGAAAGGAATGTGTCTGGCCTAGATCTGCGCGCGCGCGCACGCACGTGTGCTACTCGATGCCAAGTTTCTAACGATCCGATTGCGCTTCCAGTTTCGACTGCCGGAACCGCGCGCATTACGGCCGAGCCGTGGCCTCCTTGTGCCGGGCCGCTTGCGCGAATCGTCACCGCCCGATCACCTAACGAATTCCCGTCATCGTAACGCAATCGCAGAAATAGAAATCGGCCAGCGGCGCCGCTCTCGCCGTATCCCTTGACCCCCGGGCTGGGTCTGGCGGCCGAGTGGACGCTCCTCTTGTTATTGTCGTCGTCGTCGTCGTCGTCATCATCACCAACATCGTTGTGGATCGTCATCAGCCGTCGTCATCAGAACGACCGAGAAGATATGTTGTGTTCAAAACGCTAAGGGTGGGGAAATTATTCACTGTTCAGAGTTGCGACTCGATTCAAGAATCACTTTGGTAACATTGCAGCAACTCTCGCGGTTTCCGTGGGTAACGTGAATCCATTAAGCACAAAGTCTACGAATCAATCGCATCCTCCTCCCCTTGGCGGTTGTGATGCATGAATTGTGATCTCGTGAAGACGCAGTCGACAGTCGATTCTACGAAGGATACACAATGACACAGTGCCCATGACTTTGTTCCTGACGCTCACGCCTAATGCCTACACCTGATGCTCACCCCTGACGCTCACCACTGACGCTCAGTCCTGACGCTCAACAATGACGCTCACCCCTGACGCTAACCACTGACGCTCACCACTGACGCTCAGCCCTGACGCTCACCCCATAACGCTCACCCCTGATGCTCAACCCTGACACTCACCCCCCTAACCCTCACCCCTGAGGCTCACCACTGACGCTCAACCCTAACGCTCAACCCTAACGCTCAACCCTAACGCTAACCACTGACGCTCACCACTGACGCTCACCCCTGACGCTCACCACTGACGCTCACCCCTGACGCTAACCACTGACGCTCACCCCCTAACGCTCACCCCTGACGCTCACCACTGACGCTCAACCCTAACGCTCAACCCTGACGCTCACCACTGACGCTCACCACTGACGCTCACCACTGACGCTCACCCCTGACGCTAACCACTGACGCTCACCCCCTAACGCTCACCCCTGACGCTCACCACTGACGCTCAACTCTAACGCTCAACTCTAACGCTCAACCTTAACGCTAACCACTGACGCTCACCCCCTAACGCTCACCCCTGACGCTCACCACTGACGCTCAACTCTAACGCTCACCCCCTAGCGCTCACCATTGCCCGTAACCCTAACGTGGTGTGTGTGGCGGCGCTCGTGTCCCTGTTGCGGCGGTGACTCGGGCAGGGACTCGATCGCGAGCCTCAAGCGCAAGTACACCAAGTATGACGACGACGACGAGGTGTCGGGGGGGGGCACCTCCTCCTCCTCCTCGTCGTCGCCCGACATGAGCCCCGAACTGGACCGCATCGCGCGCGAGGGCTGCCACCTGCTGCTCAAGGAGGTCTTCCTCGACCTGGAGGTGAGGGCCGTCGCCACGACGACCCCGGCGACCTTCACGCGGCTCGTGAGGTCGCGGAGCGTGGATGCCGCGGTGGGGCGTGCGGCGGCGGCGGTGACGCCGGCGGCGGCGACGCCACGGCAGTTAAGAGCGACGCGGCAGCGCGACGCCGGCGACTGCTTTGCTGAGCGCCCGCGACTTGAGCGGATGTGGGAATTCTGGGTACGCGCGTGGAAGTGATGCGGCACGCGGTGTGGCGCGCCCTCGTCCCCGGCTCTTCGTCCCGCCATCTCGCCGCGTGAGCGCGCACCGTATCTCGCCAAACCGGCCAGACTTTACCGTCGGCGCTGGTCCCCCGCGGGGGGGACAGTTTTCGCTGAACGCGTTCTCCACTGACGCGGCACTTTTCAACGAACGCTTCCGCCGCGTTCAACGAGGAAGTTCCGTCGGTGGAATTCCGTACAAACTGCGATAAGGGCCGGGAATCGTAATTGCAGCACGGGCAACGTCCAATCAGGCGACGGGAAAAAATGTCATCTGGGAACCGTTATTTAGTTCTCCAGTCCGCCATCGTTCAACGGCCCTGGGCGTACAGCACTCCGCTGCATCGTCCAGAGGTTGCCGTCCTCTCCCGACAAATAATGTTGCTCGTTTATTTCGTTTCGCAAACATGGACGGAGCGTCGGGAGTTTGAACCCCGATATGGCGCGCGGCAAAGGGCCGCACGGCGCGCGCTCCGAAACTCGCGGCCCGCTGCCGGGACAGACCGGACGGCGCGCCGGCCTGGCTCCGGGAAAAAAAATCCCTCCTTTTTGGAAGACGCCGAGGCGAGGAGGAGGAGGAGAGGAGGAGGAGGGCGGAACGCTAATGTGGAAAGTAACGAATTGATCTTGATGGCGTGTGCATTGTTTAGTCAAGATTAGCAGGCAACAATGGGCGCTAGAAATCATCGCACATTGCCATTGTGTGTCAGGAGGGGACATGGCTAGGGATGGGCGGCGTACGCAGCGCGAGAAGCTTTGGCTTCCGTGCGCGCCGCAGGATTTTGGATTCGCGCATGCGTCAATGCTGCCCGCTGTGTGTGTGTGCGTGCGTGTGTGTGTGCGCGTGTGTGTGCGTGCGCGTGTGTGTGCGTGCGCGTGTGTGTGTGTGCGTGTGTGTGCGTGTGTGTGTGTGCGCGTGTGTGTGTGTGCGCGTGTGTGTGTGTGTGTGTGCGTGTGTGTGTGTGCTCAGCCCGGCGGCGTAGCGGTTAGCGCACCGCACTAAGTAACCCGGCCACCCGAGTTCGATACCCGCTCCTGGCCAACATCGCTGACGAATATCTGAACCGGTCCTGGGCCCTCCCGTAGGTCGGCTCAGCCACGAAAAAGTACCTGGTGCGGTGTGTAATACACACCGCACTAGGTAATACACACCGGCACTGTGGAGACGAAGGCGACTGAGCGTGGTGCTATTCAAACACCCCCCCCCCCCTCTCCGTGGTGTTCCTTTCTGTCCTTTATAGCTGCTCGCTAACAGAACTTGCAAGGTTACATGGGGCATCTTTGTCTTGATGCTCACCCCCCTTAAAACAACAGAATGCATTTTCTTCAGTTATCTTCGGTTATCTCCGCATCTACGTTTGAGACCCCCACAAACGTGCTAATCGCACCTCCGATTAGCACCTTTGGCTACGTACGGTGCGAAAGAAGTTCAACGTGCATGCGTACGCGACGACGCTGCTTTTTCGCTCCCGGCCCCGCGGAAACAAAAACACCCACATCGTAAAACTCCGCCAGTGACGCTCGTTCGCTCGCTCACCCGCGTACTCTCCCCCCCCCCACCTCCCCGTAGCCTCACCTGCAGGAGCTGCTCACCCGCAAGTGGCTCACGGACTCCAACGCCATGGACACCATCTGCGTGACGGTGGACGACTACTTCCACGACTTCTCCAAGATCAAGAGGCCGTACAACAAGGTCCGTGGCCACGGCGACGCTCTCGCTACATCCGTCCGTATGTCTGTGTGTTCGTCCGTCCATCCTTGCATCCGTCCGTCCATCCTTGCATCCGTCCGTCCATATGTCCGTCCATGCGTGCGTCCGTCCGTCCGTGCGTGCGTCCATCCATATGTCCGTCCGTCCGTGCGTGCATCCATCCATCCGTATGTCCGTATGTCCAGGCGCTCGGATTGTGAGCCGGCGTCTTGTCCCGCGGTAGCAGCTTTGTGTGAACGGCACGGCGCACCGTCTTTATCCAAGGCGAGATGTCAACTCCGCGTCGCTTCCGGGTGCGCTTCTGCGGCCGTCTGGAAAACGGCCCTTCCTTCCGATATTCGGAATCGGAATCAGGATATTTATTTATACCGGGGGGGGGATCTGATGAGCTATGAAGCTCTTTTTCACAGACATCGGCAGAAGGCACTGGAGCTATGCACTTTTAAATTTAGATCGAACACATTTCTTTAGAAATGTTTTGTGTTTAGATTGTTGTCCTCCCCCCGCACCTCCAATTATCACGGTTGGCTATGTACGGTACGAAAGAAGTTCAGTGTATATACATGTATAAAACGAGTTATTATAGCTTTGCTAAGCCTCGGTGTGTGTGGTGTCATGTCTATAAGCATACGTCTGCACATGTTGGTATGTGCAATTGGTGTTTGTGTGTGTGTGTATGCCTGCCTGTGTATGCACGCACGATACGTGTTCAAGTGTGTTCGCGTGTGTGTTAGTTCCCCTAGGTCGACACAGCCTCAGATGAGTACCTGGTGCGGTGTGTAAACATCACCGCCGGGGAGACAAAGGCGGCCGGCCGTGATGCTGGCCACCCACACCCCCCCCTCGTGTGCCGTGCCGGCCTCCACAGGTGCTGCTCGCCAACGGCGCTTGCCCCAAAAGTCTTTGTCTGCGCTGCAGGAGATGACGACGCAGGCCCACCTGTGGGTGGTGAGCGAGTACGTGAAGGCGCTCATGCAGAAGCGCGTCGCCTTCAAGAGCTACGAGGAGCGCAAGGAGGCGGCCGAGAGGATGAGCCGCGAGGCGACGCAGATAAAGCAGCTCTTCCTCAAACTCGTAGGTGGCCCCGAGGCGACATCGGCGACATCGGCGAACAGCGTGTTGTTGGAGGTCCTCCTTCACGAGCCTCCTCCACATGCCCTGCCACCGCATGCCCGAGCGCCTTCTGTTTGGCCGGAAAGAGGGGCGGAGGGAGGGAGCGATGGGTTCACAATATGGTCCGCAGTTTCGGTTGCATGGCCACAGTTCCACCACTGTGGCGCGTGTCTTCCATTCATCAAGGGAGATGCGCGCATTGGCCTGCTGTTGATGTTCAGATGGCGGTTTATGGTTGCACCACCAGGGTTTGGGCCGGCCTTGTTGACTTGGCACCGCGTGCGGACAACGGTCGATGGGTTTCAGCGTGAGTTTCCCCGCAGGGCTCGGAGGAGGGCGAGAAGCCCACGGATGTCATCCCAGCGCTGGCCGAGGTCCTCAAGCTCAAGGACTCGTCCTTGGTCTGCCTGGAGGTCACGGGTCTCGCCAACAACTTTCCCGACATCCGGTGAGTCGGTTAGTCAGTCAGTCTTGCACCACTAACCGGGTAAGTGCGTCAGTCTTCCTTTCACCACTATCTGGGCGAGTCAGTCGGTCTTCCTTCCACCACTGACCGAGGCTCAATTTCCTGCTTAGCTTCCAAAATCATCGGATGAGGTCGGGCGCTCGCAGGATGATTTAACTCTGGGAGAAGTCCGTGTACCCCTAGCCCAAGCAAAGGGGGGCTGTGCTCATGTTCGTGACGGCTTTTGGGCACAGTGATGGAAATTCCACATTCTCGTGTTTGGGTGGGGGGGCAGGATAATCTCGAAGATAACCAACTTAGACTTGCGATGGTGGGCCGAGTGATCCTCGACCGGGATTTGAACTTTGATACGACTACGAATTTGGCTTCACGTTTCGTCATTTTGTGAGCTCTGATTGTCTGATTGTTAACGACGATTTTGGATCTTGTGTTTCAGACTTTCGGGTTTATTTTCCGGGGTCACGTGCTCCGCGCGAAATGCCGTCGCGCTAACGACAGCGACATCACCCGATAGCGCCACGTCGACGCAACTTTTGTCGATAAATCCGCGCGAGTGACGTCGCCAAGAGTGACTTCCGGCTCGCAGATAAAAAAAAATCCCACGCGAAAACATTCTCGGCGGCGTCCAAATCTTGCCGCGCCGCTTCTCAGATGTCTCCGGTTGATCAGAAGCATCGGGAAGACGCGTCCCCAATGGACACGCACGACCAAAGTTTGTCAACAAACAACGGTTGTGGTGTTTTCGTCGCCACTGGGGAGACTTAAGTTCGGCCGGGTCATGGTGCTGGCCACCCACCCCCTCGTGCGCCGTTCCGGCCTTCATAGGCGCCGCTCGCTAACAGCGCTTGCCCCGACAGCCTGTGAAGTCGTTCTATACGGGGGATCTTTGTCTTTTGTGCGTCGCAGGGAGGAGCACATCTTGGTGCTGTTGGCGCTGCGCGGCGACGCGACGCGCGAAATGAGACAGACGGTGGTGGAGACTCTGGCGCAGAGTTCCCGGCAGGTCCCCGCGGGGTACCGGCCGGTGTTCGCCGACATCGCCGTGCCCACGTCCACGCTGCCCAAGCTCGTCAAGTAGCGGCGGACGCACGGTCACCCCCCCCCCCTCCACCCCCCCCCCGCCCCGTTCGCCGGGCGAGATGCCGACTGGTTGGTTCACGTGGAAGCGTTGCGCCGGGGTCCGTGGGGTTTGCCGGACCCCCCACCCCAACGGCTTGTTTGGAGAACGGCGGAATGGCAGAGAGAGCGGGCGGCTGTCCTTTCGCTCTCTCTCTCTCGCTCTCTCTCTCTCGCTCTCTCTCCGTCTCCCTCTCCCTTCCGCTGGCGGCGGTCGCCTCGCCGCGCGAGAGCGGCGAGGCGTGTTCGGACGCCCGCACGAAACGCCATTTAAGGCGCGGGCCCGAAGCGAGCCGATGCCGAGCGGGCTGCGGCCGAGAAGAAGCCGGACGCCGTTGACGCTTCCACCTCTCAAGTGCCGGCGACGCCTGCTCCTCAGGGGAGGGGTGGCGGTGGGGTGTGGGGGGCGTCGAGGGTCGGTAGGGGGGTGTGTTGACCTCTCGTCAGGGTGACTTCCTGTTTACACGCACGCCCTCGCCCGCGCAAGCTGAACAGGGGTTAGACCGGTGAACCTGCCAAAGGATAAACAAGAACATCTCGGGCCTGACAGCCTCCTTCAGGGACGTCTTGACGAACGTTTTCCAGCGGCCAAAGCGCCGCCGCTTTGCCCATCACCGGCGCACGCGACCTGCCGATCGACCCCCGCCGTGGCGGGCCCAGCTCGTGCCACCGCCCCCCGGTGGGGCAGAGGGAGGCCGGCGGGGTTTGGGAATCTTGGTCACCATTTCAATTGGCGGCGGGGTGGGGGGGGGGTGGTGGTGGGCAGGAGCCGGCATCGAAAACTGACGACCTCTGGATGGCGAGCGCAGGGCGCCAACCACGGCAGCTACCCCCCGGCCCCCCTGCCCACCTTGGCTCGTGCGCCCCGTTCTGTGCACTGCAGCAACGAGGGCGACGGCATCGCGAGCAAACGGGGGCAGGTTGCGAGCGACTGGCACCGCTCGGCCTCCGGGATCTTGGGGAAAGCGTTTGACCGCGGCCGCGAGCGTACTCGATGTTGGTTCCAGCCGCGAGGCCCTAGACCCCCCGTGCAGAGAATGGCACCGCCGGCCGGCCGCCCCTCGCCGCGTGGGAACGAGGCGACCGCTGTGGCTGCCCACCCACACCCAGTCCCCCACGTAAGTGGAACGCCACGCGTGGCCTACGACTGAACACTTGACGGGCAGTCTTGAGCGGATTGCCTTTTCCGGGCTGCCTTCGAATGTTACGTTCTCGTGCGTTTTTCCTGCACGAACAAAAACATTTCCTTCGCGAGGTTCAGCTTAGATCCGGGGCTGAACTTCGACCCGCGCCCCTCCGGATCGGCGAGTCGGAACGCATTTCCGACGCCCGGCACACCGCGTCCAGGATACCCTCTCGCCATGCCTGTAGCTTACTCCTCGAGTCACGTGCCTATTTGCCGTCTGCCGGCGGTGAGAGAGTTAAGTCCCTGGGGGGTACAGAGGTGACGCTTGGGGGCTGACCTCTCTGTGTTGATCGCACCGCAAGTGGCTACTCTTTTGTAACGAGGCTCCCTTCGGCGGGCCGTGTGTCTCCCTCCCTCCCTCTCTGCTTTTTTCCACGCGGTGTTCAAGCAATAAAGTTCTCCACGCCTTAACTTGCGCTAGCGTTGTGTGTGTATGTGTGTGCTGCGTGTGTTGGCACAGCAGGGGGGGGGGGGGCACAGGTGGCGCATCGGCCAGTGATGTCAGTCAACCCATGGCACCTGGGTCTGTCCCGTGACTTCCTGCCGGCGGGCGTTCGACACTTGACGTGGCCTTAAAGTTGCACATGGCCTGTCGCAAGCGCCGTGGTGACGTCCACCGCCACTTAGTGGCTAATGGCGGCTGTGGTTGTTGTTGCTGTGTGTGTGGCGCACCTTTGACCTGCAGTGCCACCTCTGAAATAGAAATTCTCGCACCCCGCGAATCCCAGACGCAATGTCCAAACCACGCTGCACGGTGGTTTGGCGAGCGATTCCGCGGTGCGAGAATGGAGAGGTGCTGGTGGAGTGGTGGTGGTGGTGGTGTTGGCCTGGACTTAAGGCCTTGATCCAACAGTGGATAATTATCCGTGGCTGATGATGTACAGTGAGGGAAAAAAGTATTTGAGCCCCTGCTGATTTTGTACGTTTGCCCACTGACAAAAAATGATCAGTCTATAGTTTTAATGGTCGGTTTATTTGAACAGTGAGAGACAGAACAACAACACAAAAATCCAGAAAAACGGATATCAAAAATGTTATAAATTGATTTGCATTTTAATGAGGGAAATAAGTATTTGACCCCTCTGCAAAACATGACTTAGTACTTGGTGGCAAAACCCTTGTTGGCAATCACAGAGGTCAGACGTTTCTTGTAGTTGGCCACCAGGTTTGCACACATCTCAGGAGGGATTTTGTCCCACTCCTCTTTGCAGATCTTTTCCAAATCAAGGTTTCGAGGCTGACTTTGGCAACTCGAACCTTCAGCTCCCTCCACAGATTTTCTATGGGATTACGGTCTGGAGACTGGCTAGGCCACTCCAGGACCTTAATGTGCTTCTTCTTGAGCCACTCCTTTGTTGCCTTGGCCGTGTGTTTTGGGTCATTGTCATGCTGGAATACCCATCCACGACCCATTTTCAATGCCCTGGCTGAGGGAAGGAGGTTCTCACCCAAGATTTGACGGTACATGGCCCCGTCCATCGTCCCTTTGATGCGGTGAATTGTCCTGTCCCCTTAGCAGAAACACACCCCCAAAGCATAATGTTTCTACCTCCATGTTTGACGCTGGGGATGGTGTTCTTGGGGTCATAGGCAGCATTCCTCCTCCAAACACGGCGAGTTAAGTTGATGCCAAATAGCTCCATTTTGGTCTCATCTGACCACAACACTTTCACCCAGTTGTCCTCTGAATCATTCAGATGTTCATTGGCATCTGCGAATAATCGCACCAACTGTTGTCACCTCACCAAGCTGCTTGGCAATGGTCTTGTAGCCCATTCCAGCCTTGTGTAGGTCTACAATCTTGTCCCTGACATCCTTAGAGAGCTCTTTGGTCTTGGCCATGGTGGAGAGTTTGGAATCTGATTGATTGATTGCTTCTGTGGAAAGGTGTCTTTTATACAGGTAACAAGCTGAGATTAGGAGCACTCCCTTTAAGAGTATGCTCCTAATCTCAGCTCGTTACCTGTATAAAAGACACCTGGGTGCCCGAAATCTTTCTGAATGAGAGGGGGTCAAATAGTTATTTCCCTCATTAAAATGCAAATCAATTTATAACATTTTTGACATGCGTTTTTCTGGATTTTGTTGTTGTTATTCCGTCTCTCACTGTTCAAATAAACCTACCATTAAAATTATAGACTGATTGTTTTTTGGTCAGTGGGCAAACGTACAAAATCAGCAGGGGATCAAATACTTTTTTCCCTCACTGTATGCATGTTGAACTTCTTTCGCAACGTACGTAGCCAACTGCGCTAATCGGAGGTGCGGGGGAAGGACAACAAACTAAGCACAAAAAGCAGTTCTGAAGTTTATGTTCGTGTGATGATAATCATCATATCTGATCTAATCCTGGGCACACCCCTCCTCCTTTCACCATCCCGCACTGGCTCGTGCGGTGAAGTATGGTCAATGCCCATGAACCTCCACGGTGTAGCGAAAGCTTTCGGTGTTGGGAAGCCTTCGTTCAAAAGTGATTTGACAAAGGGCGGTATTGTGTTGTTATTATTATTATCGTGTATTAAGTTACCTGCTAAACAATGGTCCATGCTGTGCAATGTTGTTTCCGACCATATAGTCGTATTTGACATGTTCAACGGTCTTGCAGGCTCATGTTTTCGCGGCGTTACCGCATGTTCGCCCCGGGCGTCGCTCGCCACCCGCGCCTTTTCGCTCGCCACGCGCTCCGGAGCGTCGCTCGTGAACCCAGAATTCCTAAAAGGTGGCGGCCTTTTAGGAATTTTCGGACGCCCTGCACGAACAAACGTCGGACATCGTAACCCCGACGGCGCGCGCCAAACGCAACCCAGCGGCGACGACGGCGACGACATCGTCGAGGAGATCCGAACGCGGGGGGAAGGAAGTAAAATAAGTAATGCTAATTCCTTTGTCAAAGGCGTTTTTTTTTCTGTTTACCCCCTCACAGCTTAAAGGAGGCGACCTGCGCTTGACTTTGTTCACTCCAACGCTGTCCTCTGGACAGTTTGGTCCCTTCACCTGATGGAGGCCACTTGTGTTGTGGCCGAAACGTCGTGATTTTTTTTTTTACCTACGTGACTTTACCGAATAGAACCAAAGAGTATAAAAATAAGTAATGCTTTAAAAAAAACTTTTTTGAAAACACGCTTTTATGAAATGTACTAGTAGTAATGGCAGAACTTCACGGCTCCAGGAAGTGGCCCCGAGGCTCGCCACAACGTAAGGGGACCGTGGGAAATTAGAGCCAAGCCGAAACATAACATAAAAAAATATTAAATTTTGATTTAAAGCTTTCGTGACTGCAGGGATTCATATTCTTGGTTCTTTCGGTAAAGTCACCACGTAGAATGGAAATAAAATAATAAAAATAAAGCATGATAAAATAAAATATGTTTTATTTATAAATAAAACATGATAAAATAAAATGTTTTATTATTTTATTTCCATTCTACGTGACTTTACCGAAAGAACGAAGAAGATAAAAAAAAGATTGTTTAAAAGTTGTTGTTATTTTTTTATGGTAGAATATCGTATCGTCATCAGTGTGACATAAGTATACCAAGTTTGCAGTCGATACCACATTGGGAAGTGTGTTCAAAATTGAGTTACCAAGATTTGAGGATACAACAACAACAGACAGAGCGAGTTAAATGAAATCGTGTAAAATAAAACCAAAGCACTCGCTCTCGGTGGCCCCGTCCAACGCGAGGCCACGCCGTTATTTCGGCTGTCGGATCGGTCGCATCCTCAAATGTCAAATCTCATCTCGAGCTCGGACGTCATCGGTTGCAGCGGGCAGCACCGCCTCTGGGTTGACCCGCGATGGGAGCGACTGACGCGGGCGGAGGTTTTGTTTTCCCTCTAAAACCTCGACCGCCGCCCCCCAAATCATCGCGGCGCACAGTGGGGGGGGGAAGTGGCGGAAACGCATCGCACCATGACTCGAGATTTCCGGGGCCAAAGTCCGGGGAATTCCTGCAGCTGCCACCGCTAGCTCCCTCCCTTCTCCTCCCTCCCCTCCATCCCCTCCATCCCCCACCCTCTCCTCCCCACTGTGCTGACTTTTCCCGCCCTGGGTTCACAAACCCCGTGGCTGCCAGATAAATGTAAATGCGTTGTTTATTGTTGCCGCTGGGGGGTGGCGTGAAAGTCAAAATACGGCGCCATGGACTCGCCCCGACGTTCATTCCACGTGGAGGGGGAACATTTTGCAGACTCAACGTTTTACCGTGGTGGAGAGGTGGGGGTGGAGGGTGGTGGAGAGGGGGTGGAGAGGTGGGGGAGAGGTGGGGGGTGGAGAGGTGGGGAAGAGGAGGGGGGTGGAGAGGTGGGGGTAGAGAGGTGGGGGTAGAGAGGTGGGGGGTGGAGAGGTGGGGGGTGGAGAGGGGGTGTGGAGGGGGGTGGAGAGGAGGGGTAGAGAGGTGGGGGGGGTGGAGAGGGGGGGTAGAGAGGTGGGGGTTGGAGAGGGGGGGGTGGAGGGGGTGGAGAGGTGGGGGTAGAGAGGTGGGGGGTGGAGAGGGAGGGGTAGAGAGGTGGGGGTGGAGTGGAGGGGGTGGTGGTTATGGCTTCAAGGGAGACCTGCGTTGCCTGCGTTCATGTGCCTCGACATGAATGTCAGAGTTTGTGCGAATGAAACAAACAATGTCTATTGACGCTCGCACCCGACCTCCACCCTCACGGTTGGACACACATTCCCTGACACACGACCTCTGACACATGACCCCTGACCCACAGGCACAAAGACAAAGGCGCCCGCCCTTCGTGTCGCCCTTGGGGGCGGTGCATAATGACGTCACGCGATTTTGGACAAATTTTGACCCCCCCTTGCCCCCTCGTCACACGGCGTCACAAAAAGTCAGACACCCCCCCCCCCCATCAAATATGACGTCACAAAGCTCTGCGCCCCCCCCCCCCCCCACGAACGCACGCACGCCCCCACTAAACACTCACATGCACCACCGTAGAGTCTCGAGGAAGGATCACGTGGTACGATTGGTTTTCACCCGAGGGCCCCGCTAGCAGGGACGTTCCACGGTTTCCCCGGACCAGGAAATTGGCTGAGCCCCCCAGACCGAATTCCATGGCGCCCCCCCCCTAAAAGGGGGCATAGAGCTTTACAGGCCGGCCGCGATGAAGCATACACAGCACGGGGGGGGGGGGGTGCGACCTCAAGGCCAGCACCCAGCGGCAGTGTGAACAGTGGGGTGAGAAAAGCCCCTAGGCATATAGGAGGATTTAAGAGAGAGGGCCCGGGGGGATTATCGGTGAGTCAGCGGCGGGGAAAGCAGGCACAGAGACAATGGACAGGGGGGGGGGGATGACGTGACTCCCCCCCCCCCCCCCCCCCCCCCCCCCCCCCAACGGCCAGAGCGCTCAAAACGGCCGTAAAGAGGATTCGATTGGACGCGCAGGATGACGTCATATGACCCGGGGGT